CAAATGTTTAAAGAGTCAAATGTTGTTCATTACATAAAATTAAGCTGCCTCTATTAGGCTGGGCATGTTATCCATATAAACGACAGTATACTAAAAGAAATGTTTTCGGACAGACCATGCAACTCAAGAAGAAGGGGAAGACCTAGACTTAATGCTGATGGATAGATGCTGTAGAGGAGAATTATTTAATCCTTAAAATTAAGAGTTGGAGGTGTTTGGCTGCTGGAAATGTCTAGTTCAGAAGGCCTTGGCTCACCTTGGGCTGCCGTGCCCTGGATGATGATGATGATGATATCAAACATATATGCTTCATAAAATTACGCATGCCATAACATTTAACTTGTTAATATATCTGTCTGCATATTTATCACTTTTAAGAGAGTAATGTGCTAACAAGATTCTGAGGTCATTCTATTTTTAATGAAAATTTAAGAAAAATGTGAATTTCCCGCTTGCATGAGTGATTTCTCTGAACTTGTTGATTAAAATTTCAAGACATCTTGATGAATCGTGTAAACACTGTATCTGCATAATCTTAGGAACTGCAATATAACAGAATATGTTCGAAGTTTAACCTGTAATTATGAATTGTGATAATTTTGTTGCATTTGATATTGGTATAATTTTCTACGAATTCTGTGCAATTTCTTTATATCCTATAGTTGTAAACTAGTAACTAGTAATTATAAGCAAACTTTATTCTGTACTGTATTTCTACTTGGTGGCGAAATGGCCCATTGGAGAATCAGCTACCGACGGATTGCGCTATCTTCAAAATGGCGATGGCCGAAAGTTCTAAATTAACCAAAGTATGCCATAATGTGTCAAACATATGGTAAATTTAATGCAAATAGTAATAAAAACAATAGGAAAATATATACATTATTTGATGAACATCTTTGATTGATAAAATCTGAACCCATTAAAAACATTCAGCATCCAAAACCAAGTCAAGGATGAATACGAAATAAGTACATAAAATGAAATTTAAATGTATGTATATGAGTAAACTTAAAATCAGGACTGTGCCCATACTGTGAAAGAATTTTTTCATAATCAGCGTAAATATGGTTGTATATAAACCAATTTAAACTAAATGATAAAACTTGGCATGTCTTGTTAAGTGTAAACCATTCACATGAAAATCTTACCAGTTAGTTTTGTTAAACTTGTAAAATTACAGTACTCTAAATTTAGATAATTAAACCAAAGACAATTAATTAAAATGTAGTCGTTGGATAATGGAAAATTTGGATAAACTGTTCAGGAATATTCATACATGTGTCTTGAGCACAGTTTACCAGATTTTCTTGGCAGCTTGAAAGTTAGACAGGCTCAACACGCCATTGCAGGTGTCTCAGACTCAGCAGGCCTTTTGAGTTCTACAGAATGTTAGCAGAGGATCGTTATTTAACGCTTAACTGCTTTAAGGCGTTCTTGGTATTAGTAATGGTTCGTAGTTAAGGATAAATAACAGTGAATGGCTAAGCCATACTGTTCTTGCTAAATATGTTTATTACATGACGGAAATCTTGGCCTTCATCTTTCTGAAGTAGGACTACTATATTTCTAGAAATCATTGTTAAAGGATGGTGTTAACAAATTATCAACACAGAGATAGCATACTGTAAAACACAGATACTATTATATTAAAATGATGATGTTATGTTCCATCTACAAATAAGTCAAGATTCAGCATATAGCCATATGTGAACGGTAATTCTCATGTAACAAGAAGAGGGAAACCACAATGTTATATACTTTGAATAAATATGGTTTTGTTGGATGGAAGAATTGGGGTTTTAAAAGTCATAGGTTTCGTGATTGTGTGTCTTTTGCATAGTGTGTTTCAGTTCATTGATGATAGTAAATGCAAAGAAATGATTAGGCATTTTATCCTACTTTATATTGTTGCTAAAGTTCTTTTATTCTTAGAGGCAATGATGTGTATCCACCAGGGGACCAACTATTCCAGATATGCGAAAAGTTGATATTCTAGATATGCGAAAAGTTGGTTTCATGAAATTGAATAAGCTTGAGACTTCATGAGAAAGGAAACTGCTGTCGTTCTTGCACAAGGAATATAATCCTCAGAGTTAAACAAGATATTACAAGAGCTCGTGTAGTCTGTATAAGGGTATATTTTATTGATACCACACAAATAAAGACTGCGAAAAAATATTATGAAATCAGATTTTCTTTGGTTACAACACAGCTGGTCGGCTTGGATCTTACGGGACATGTTATCAGAATGAAGCCAAATTTCATGTACAATTCTTTTGAACATATTTGTCCATCAATCTGGGAGTCAGTTCCACTTGGTTGTAAATCTATAATGCTGTTCTTATTAGCAAGTTCTAAAGCATCCCAACAGAGGCATGGCTAAGGTTTTCAGCGCCCGGGGATACCTAAGGATTTTATGCCCCTTTCTGTGTTCCCAGAATGGAAAGCACTTCATTCTGATACGTGTATCATCAATTTGGTACCAGATGGATGCTGCGCCCGGGGACAGATGTCTTCCCTTGCCCCACCCTAGCTACGCCACTGCATCCCAAATTATTTTACTGACAATAAGGCAAGGACAATTGGCCGGCTAAGCAAAGTGTGGAACATTAGTTTCATGAACCTGTTCTGAATACGTCTGGTGCTATATATCAGTGCTCCGCAACCGGTGTGCCGCGGCACACCGGTGTGCCATGAGTAGGATATAGGTGTGCCGCAATCAAATACATGTATTTGACATTTTGCAATTTTTTATCATGTATTTAATACACAGTGACAATTTTTTTCCTTAATAATGTCTATTTTAAATGTTTTTATATATTTCACTGTTGTGTGGTTGTGTGTGTGATTGTAAGTGTGTCAGCATTTGAATTTTTTCGGCACTTCCTTGATAACTCGGAACTCTTTGGTGTGCCACGAAATTCCAGAAAGTTTTTTTGTACGTCGCAAGTGAGAAAAGGTTGCGGAGCACTGCTATATATGGTACTGTTGTCATCTTGGTTAGATGACAATAGGTTTGATGTAGAGCTGGATTAACCATTATGAAAGAATGTGCTTAGGACATCAAGGATAGGAGGCATAAAAAAGTTCATGGAACGTATGGAAAAAGAGCACCACAAAAATATTTTCATTGCTGATTTTACCTTGGAATGTATGCTTCCCGTAAATCAAAACCGAGAGGAAAGAAATTGGAAAAAAGCAAGTATTGTAATGTAAATGTGTTACGGAAAGGCACGAAAATCTTTTAAGCGCCATAGGCCCTCAAAAATCTTAACCCAGCTCTGGTTTGATGATAAATAAATAAGTCCAATAAAAAACGATGTAGTCTTCTAGAAAGAGGACCTTTATTTGAATGTTGACCTGCGCTGATGGTTCAGTTGCAGTTGCCGAAATACACTCCCAAAACATCACACTTTCACCCTCCAATTGCACCGATTTTGGACATAGTCTGATATATTTTCTTTTTTCAGTCTCGTGGTGATGCGGCAGCACACATTTTTGGAATAAAAGTAAAATTGTGATTTGTCTAACTATACGACACGTCGCCAACTATCCACAGTCAGTCGTTGATGTGCGTTAGCCCATTTTGGGCTGATGTGATTCAAGGACGTCTGCAGTGTATACAGCTGAATAATTCTGTGCTGAATAACTCATGGTGTAGAGTATGCTTTGAAACAGAAGGACCTGGCCCAGCATTAGCCTGTGTTAATCATTGGTCCCTGTTCTGGAATCGATTAGCAGTAGCCGTGTTCCTCACATATTGACGATCCCTCAGCGTTAATCGCTTTTTAACCAGCATTGCATGTTCTGGAATTATTTATCTGAGACAAATAGCGTCGCATATACAATGTAGATCATGGCACACGCAAGAAATCCATAATTGCTGCAACTTTGTGGCGGTAGTTTTCGGCTAAGCACTAGAGTTCCTTTTACCAATCTGTGATCAAAGCTATAGCTAAGGTTTTCAGGAATGAAGATTTTGTGCCTCCTCCTGTTTTCCAAGAATAAAAATTATCAGCTTTAAAATTTTGTAACATCAGTTTGGTGCCGCCTGGATGCTGTGCCTATGGACAGATGTTCTCCCGTCGACCCCCCAGCACGCCACTGTCAGTGATGTTTCGTTTGCACCCCATTTACAACTTTATGAACAAACAGTGCACACATATCAAGGTTTTATACACATTCGAGATTAAGAACTTCCACCTTATTCCTTTTTATATGCACTAGGTGCATGGCAGAAACTTCCCCTTAAAATGTAGGCATGCGTTATATGCTGATTTCATAATACTTTGTGTAAGATGTTTATATGAAAGCTCTAACAGTTCTTAAGACTATATTTTAAATTAAAAATACTTAAAATGTTTTTGTGTCTTTATGGATTCTTAATATTAAATATCTTTAAAACATGCTTCTGTAAAGTTGTAGAATTTATGAAAGTTTAACTAAATATTTAACTTTTAATATATTTTATTGTATTTCATATCAATAAAAAGAGAAGTATGTCTTGAAATCGTTTTCATACTTCACATGTTCTTAGAAAAAATTCCGAGGTTATATATTGGTTTATATATATATATATCATTATCCTGTAGCCCACCAGCGGCCGAGCGGTAAAGTCGCTGAACACTGGTAGTTCGGTCCGAGGTTCGAATCCCGCGAACGGGCTGGCTGCATGGGCGTTTTCGTGGTTTTCCCCATGTGTAACGTGTATACGAGCCAGTTTCCCTTAGAAAGTCCTCCACGAAGGCATCCCTCCTCTTAGGCAGATAGCCCTCGAGGCTTTGCCATAATCACACACACACACACACACACATTATCCTGTAATTTTGTTGAGCAGTATATGTAACTAAATACACTTTCTTTAACAGAAATTAAGAAATCTATTTAGAGATATTTTCAAAACTTATAAATGTGTAAAGATTAACAGGTTTCGATTATATGAGATAACATGTATACAGTAAATTGAAACAGTTATTCATAATTGATTATTATTTTAGCTCCTGAAGATGATGTGATCAAAGATGACCAATGGCTCGGGGTCACAGTCAAAAGTCAAGGACCTGGAGGGTATGTTTTGGTATGTAGATATCATTTTTAGCTGTTACATAGTAGTGAATTCTTTATTATTTCAAATGCTGGTAGTATCCCCTCCTCAGAGCTTGATTATCCATTAAGCAAAATAAAACGTGCTTAAGGCATCAAGAAAAGAGTCTGTACAGAAGGGAGGGAAGATCATTAGGAATTGGGCACCACAGAAAATTTCCATTGCCGGTTTTACCACGGAATGGTTCACCTAAACCAAAGCAGAGAAAGAAGAAATGAGTGATAGCAGTAAATGTATGTGGGGTCTCCAAAATCTTTTAATCATGCCATTTCAGGGCATCTGAAAGTCTTAATTCGACCATACCTCTCCTCATCATTTATCATTCAGGAAATTAGACTAAGTTTTTAAATGTTATTTGCACAATCTGTTATATATTTGATGGCGCAGAGTTGACTGACACATTTTGTATTTGAATATTGTGTCAATGCAATAGTTTGTTGTGGTTGTCAAACATATGAAACAACAGAGGAAACTTGTCTTTTAGATATCCCTCAAGCTTACTATCCTTGTTTTCTTTGCAATGTACAATCTAGCTCATACATAAGTGAATATAGGTCTAAGCATTAAGAGCCTAGGTGGTAATTGAACCCTTTTATTTTAATTTTTAATAATGATTATTGAAGGTGCCTGGCTGGCTACTTCCATGAGTGTTTACCAAGAATTCATGGATTCTTGGTAAGCGGATGTAAAACACAGACAATCTGTGTAATGTAAATATTTGAAAATAAGCGAGATTTGGATAAGACATTGCAGTTTGAAAGAAAACATTGCATTAATGATTGGTGACACTTACGAATTGTATGCAAAGTTCAAAAGTGCCCAGCAATTAAGTATTTTATGCTATGTAATGTTTTATTTTTATGCAAAAACAGTTTGTGTTTCAGCTGTTAATTTTTAGAGCAAAGAATAAAACACACATTTTGTTACTAAATTTTGCTCTCAGGTATGAAACCTATTATATAAATACAAAACATAACCTGTGATTCAGTTTCTGAAATAGTTTATGAGGTAGATTGAAGTATCCCACAGACTATATAGTGAGAATTCTTAATGCAAGATTAAAGTTTCCATCCTCATGTTCAGAGATTAAATTAATGTTTTGGATGAATTTTCAAAATTACTGCAGATCTCTGGAAACTGAACCTTTTAAAAGATGTTTGATTTAAAAAAAAAAAAAATCAAATGCAGTTTTTAAAGATTAAACCTTTTAAAAATTGTTTTTCATTTTTAAAATTACTTACCTCCAAGCATCAATTTTCGGCCTTAAAATTCTTAAATTTCCCAAATTGCTAAGAATAAGTATTATTTTATAGATTATAATTGAAAAATGACTCTCTCATTTTTTTATCTTGACTACCCCCACTTCAGTATACATTCAGCCTGACATCAGATCCATCAGGTGCTACCAAAATTTTTCATGTGTATTGAATTAGAAGGCCATCTTTCTGTGTGGAATTATGTGCCGTAACCCTTGGAAGGTTAAATATTGAAAGTTAAAAATCTACTTCCTGAGGACCAGGGTAACCATTTAGAAGATAAGAATAAAACCTTTCCAATATACTGCTGAAAATCAGTTCAGTGATTTCTTACAGTATGGATTGAGCCATTTAAAGAATTTTCTTTTTTCAAATGAATAAAACTTGAAATCTTCTCACATAAAAATTTAATTATACATCAGTTATATGAAAGGTAAAAGAATTCACCCTGATTTGAGCAAGTGTTTAAACTAACTCAGAAATTTAAAAAAAAAAAAAAAAAAAAAAAAAAAAAAAAAAATCATAGCTACGTACAAAAACAAAGAAATTTAGTCAGCACCAAAATGTAAAAAATTCTGTAAAGTTTTGGAGAAAAAAATGTCTGATCTTCAGAAAGTGTACAGTAAAATGTTATTCTGAGCTTCTTGCCATTTGTTGAGTTAAACTTTGTTTATAAATTATAGAATCTTCCATTCTCACTGTCTCTCTAGCTTAAACATCCTGACATTTTAAATCAAACCACATCAATAGAGAAATAATCATGTTCTATTTAAATGAAGTTCACATTATTAAAAACTGGATGACTGAAATTTGTTTAATCATTGAAATTCAAGTCTAAACACCCATTTTATTTGTTTGTGGTAAAGGAATTTCTCTCAGTATGCGAATTAACATGTGTAAGATGTTGCTTAGAGTTTGATGAGGTCAAATTGACATGAGCCCTCATTTTTTACATTTCAAGCGATGGGTGCCATATTATGGTGTCGGTTTCATTTCAAGTAAGATGATTGTACTAATCAGTGGCGTAGCGAGCATAACTGGTGCCCGGGGCAAAATACCTTTTTGCCGCCCCCCCCCAAAAAAAACCCACTTACAGTAATGTATAGTATAGTATAGAATATATTCGTAATAAGAAAATAAAGCAGAGAATAATAAAATGCTGAATCTGCCATAAAATACTCTAAAATATATTAAGAATAGTCACTACGTAACTACACTAGCATTGGATTCGGAAATGTATCTGAGTTGGTTATCAGATTTATTTTACATATTTTTGTAATTGCTTTTAAAAAGTACAATTTTTAAACAATTAAAAGTTTAATATATATTATAGATAAGTAGTTATATTTATTAATAATAATACAGTATTATAATATTACTATGTATACATTTTTCTTGCCTTGGATGAAGCAAATTTATCAATTACTTCATCAAAGTCGATCCTTTCAAATTTTTCTGTTTCCACACTTTTAAAAATGCTAGACTTGGGGGGAATGCTAGATGACTTAAAGAATCTTATCCCATCATTGATTGTAAATATGTCAAAATTTATTTTAATTTGCTGAACGAACATTCATAGCTAGCATTTGATAATGAAATAGTAAGGAGTATTTGAAGTGCGATTCTTAGGTTTGGAAAAACATTTTATCCATAGATCTGTAATGGAGTTTTAGGTTCCGTTTCTTTTCTACTGCTGAGTAACATCTTGCAGTCACATTCACTGCTGATGGCCCATCAGCGGCTGAGCAGTAAAGTCACTGAACACTGGTAGTTCGGTCCGAGGTTCGAATTCCGTGAACGGGCTGGCTGCATGGGTTTTTTCATGGTTTTTCCCATGTGTAACGTATATACGAGCCAGTTTCCCTTAGAAAGTCCTCCACGAAGGCATCCCTTCCCTTAGGCAGATAGCCCTCATGTGCTTTGCCATAATTAAATACACCAACACCATTCACTGCTGAAAACAATTAGGGTATGAAATAAGCATATAATCGACAACCTTTTCAACAAAAGGAAATAGAAGAGATTACATAGGAAAAATTAAAACGGTTACAAAGTTGGAAATAAGCAAATTTAGTCTGTGACATTGAAAATTATGCGTTTTAGATAAAGAGGCACCTGCAGCATTCCTTTTGTAGTAGGAGATTAAAATCAATTGACACGCATTGAACGCTAGGTAGCAGTGAATATAGATAGAAGTCTGAACAAGATGAGTTGAATCGGTTGCCATGAAGGCCATCAGTCATTTACAGAAGAGTTAAATGCAATCAATCCATTGTAGTGGAAGTGTTAGGAGTTTCTCAAAATGTCATTTCCAGTGTATGGAATCAGTTTCTGGGAACTGGATATGTTTGAGAAATTCGAGACAAGGCTGTGTTATCGTTTTAAAATAAAAAGCGGGAGCTATACGTGCATTTTGTTGGAAAAAAAATAATAAATAAAAATATGTCTCTTAGAGAAATAAAGTGGTCAGAAAGAACGTTTTGTATGTAGAGATATTTGGTTGATGTACTGCAAACATTTTATTACACATTTCATCAGACAGATCAGGAAAATAAATAACTAATTACATTGCAATAATTATTAATTTTGAATATATTTTTCAGAAATTGATCAAAATAAAAACTGAAATTTTTTCAGAAAATCTTGTTTGGAGACCATTTGGCACCCCTTTGCGAGTGGCACTCGGGGCATCAGACACCCCTTGCCCCCTCCCTTTCTACGCCACTGGTACTAATACTTGTGCCTAGAACATTTATACTGTTACGAAACGTACAGGCATGGTGAGATGGCTTCCCCGCAAATCAGTTTTTGGCAAAGGAGGGCAAAGTTGCCATATTTGGCGAGAAATCGCCCATTTGGCAACAAAATTGGCAATATGCCATGGGCGGTTGGAGAACATTCTGGAACGAATTCTTACCAGTTTAGCCCAAAATGTTCCCGAACACAAGCCGAAAGCTATATAAACCCTGCTGGTCCGCAGTCAGTCAGTGTGCCTCTTCGAGAGGGCGAATGTGTGTGCCTCGTCTAGCGAGCTGATAGTCAGTCATTGAGTGAGTGTCTCGAAGTCTAGTGCCGAGTTGGTCGTCGACTGCATCGCGAATTAGTGCATCATCGAGTTTTGTCTTAGACTGTGCTGAGTCAAGAGCTATATTCTTGTGTATCGTCGAGTGCATCACGTGGAGAGTCTCTAGAGTACGTGGAGTTCCGAGAACGACCAAACAGAGTCGGAAGCTGTACTCTGCTTTGCAGTGAAGCTATCTTCACCATTATTGCCTGACAGTGTGAAGGCTGTGTCACTGATTGCTCCAGCGTGTTTATAGTAGATTTTCGACGACTGTAAAAAGTGTTATTGGAGCTGTCCTGATTAATATTGGCTAAATAAAGTGTGTTTCGATACTTCATCAAGTGTCGTCGTTATTCACTCCAAATCTAAGAACCCCGTACGAACGTGAAGGAAGAAAATAATGTAACAACTGGTGTCAGAAGCAGAAGAGAAAAAAATGCAACAGTAGTTTTTACTTTCCTCTTACCATTAATGATATTATTACAGGCATTAAAATGTTCATGTAAAAGAAATTTTTTTAAATAAAATTAGTGATTTAAAAACATTATTATAACAACTTTGAAAATTTACAGGCATGTGCTCATCGCTATATCAAGAGAGGTCCCGATTATCAATGGGGTTTAGGTATCTGCTATTCTTTAAGTCAGACGCTGGACATCCACCGAGAATGGGAACCTTGTCTCAATCGTCCAGTAGCCAAAGCACACGAACAGTTTGGGTACTGCCAAGCAGGCACAAGTGCAGACATATCAGAAGTATGCATAACATGTAATTATACTCTTACTTCACCATTAGTATACTTGCAGACATTTCATATTTGCTAATTTTACTGATATTTAATCTATTGTTTACTTTATTCCTTTACTTTTTTAACATACAAATTTATTAATAATTAAAAATTTACTCTAGCATTACATATTAATGGTTGTTAAAATTCTTTAAATATCTTTAATTCTTGGTGTAAAACAAAGAGCATTTATAAAACAGAAATTTGCTATATTTTTCTAATCTTGATGAACTTGGTAAATGTTAGAAAAGTTATTCATTTTTTATGTGTTTCCTTATGTTCCTGTTGTATGTTTCTATGAGCTGGTAAGGATTGTATGTATTTTTTATTTTAAAGCATAGTTTTTTTAATTATGATTATCATTATTTGTTAGCTTTTTCATTAAAATATGCCAATGCCTACTTTTCATTATATTCTCATTAAAAGGATCACAAGCTTGTGATTGGATCTCCGGGGCCATTTACATGGAGGGGAACAGTGTTTGTCAACAGTGTGAAATTTGGTATCCGAGATGACAAGAACTGGTACTATGGTCCATTGCTTGATGATGAAGCTCCAGTGGAAAAATACAGTTATTTAGGTATTTTATGGTGATGTTTATTTAATTTATTGCTGTTAGTAATAGCAAGTGAGAAATACTTTTAACAAATACATTATTAATATGAAGTTAAATTCCTTTTCAAAATATAAACTATAAATTCTTTTAAAAAGTAATACAAATTTTCATAACCTGTAGGTTAAAATTAAGTATCTTCAGTTTCGATATATTTTTGCGTTAAGCTGTAACTAAAATTTTTTTTTTTTTTTTTAAATGCTATCAAATAAGCAAATGCTTTTATGTTTGAGACTTTAATCCCATACTTTTGATGTCATACAGTTTTGAACAGAATTTTCTAATTATTTTTTCAGCATATTTATTTAAGATACAACTAAATAAAAAAGAAACATGGATGATGCTATGGAATAAATTTTTCATAATCATAAAATCATATACAGTCAAAAGTCATTAATTCGGACACCCATAATCCAGAATGATCTATAATCCGGACCTCAAAGCTAAAAACTTTCTGCGCATGCGCCACGTTGACACATGCGCATAGGCGTTTACGCGTGCGCGTAAGACCTCTTACAACTGCGCATTTGCGTGTGCGCAAGCACAGAATACATTTTCGCGTGCCCGTTTTATGTATTACGAACGGTATAAGCTAAAATTATCTAATTATCTATTTCAGTTAATGTTGATGATTGCGTTGTTCCTTAATTTTCGAATTGGATCCGGCTTATTATTTTTTTGCAGACTGTAAGAGCAATACTATAAAAGTAAACTTGAACTTTCGATTATGTGAAATAGAATTTCCGAATCTGGAGCTCCCAAAGGATCGTACAAAACGAAAGTATGTTTCGATGTCCATCAAACAAAAAGTGGAATTGCTGCAAAAAATGGATAAAGATATGAAGAATGTGACAGAAAATTTCGATTGACAAGTTAGTCGGTATTCTCGGCACAGCAATTAACAGGACTTGAACAGCGGAACTTTGTAACTGAACAAAAAATTATGTCTGTTTATATAATTAAAGAGAAAGTATTATCACATAAAACGAAGCAACTTAAATAACTTACATTGAAAGAAATGTTTAATAAAGTAAACAAATAAATATGAAGCTTTTTTTTTGTAAATTTTGATACCCTTTAGATCATGATTGTTCTTTATTTCATAAATTACGGTTTCATATTTTTAATTTTAGAATTTTTGCATGCCATCTTACGCGATTTAAACTGATGATCTATAACCCGGAAAAATCGATAATCCGGAGTCGCCGAAGTCCCGATGAGTCCGGATTAACGACTTTTGACTGTACAACTTATTGATAAAAAATATTTAGATGTGTATTGGGGAGTAGTGCTGAAGTCACTTTGTAATATTTAAACATGTGTTATCTATTTTCGAAGATAAGCCTAGACTTAAGATTTTGCTGCAGAAATTCAGCCAAAATTGAAAACCCATGTGTAAGCCAAATAAAAATAAAATTAAAAAAAGAAAAGAGGAGGCCAGAAAGTACTTTTCTGATCATTCAAAAGATGTTGCTCAAAGATTAGCAGTGCTATGGAAGGAAATGAAAATGATGTTAATTGTGAAATGGAAGACGGTGACATTCACCTCAAGGTAACAGTAGCAGAGAGTCTTCAAGGAATTGCTAGAAAATTCTGAATCGCATACCAATAACAGAGAAATGTGACTGAGAAGAACTTTATATATACTATATATTAGGATTTAGTGAAGTAAAATTAATGGTTTTTTTTTCAATTATGTAGCCTCTAATATTTTTTTTTATGATTGAATAATTGGTAACTCATTTTGAGATCGTATATAAGCCTTCAATGTTTAGTAACAACAATTTTGTTAAAAATTCTTGGTTTAAATCATGAAAATGTATAATCTGATTCAAGTTATTATTATTTGTTACAAATGGAAACAAAAGTTATAGTTTCAAAAGGATATGACAAAGAGATGTTTTATATATAAATCATTTTGCCTTCAGTATGAAAGCATGCCAAGAAACAATATGTTTGCATATATAGGAACAAATTTCATTTGGAATGTTATTAAATTGATTGTCGATCACTCCATCCATTTTTGAAATATCATTGACGTAGATTTATTTTTACCTTAACATATTTCCAAAGGAAAAAAATCTGCTGGACTCAGGGAAGCTGGCCAATCATGCGGTTAATATCATCTCCCAATACATGATGAGTATTGGGAGATAATCATTGAGTACAATCCCAATTGGGAGGTGATCAATGAGTACAATCCCAATTCCCAATTCATGATGATCAATGAGTTATATCCATACTTCTGAAATTCATTGATATTTAATTTTAATGCTTTCCATGCTCATTGGTAAATCAGCTGTTCTTTGTATGGATTTTTTTATATGAATGTATTTTCCAGCTTGTTTTGTAGTTACATTGCTTAAACATGATATAACTGGTATATATCACTGAATATTGATGGCATTATTTCTATATTTGGAAAATAAAGTATACAAATGCCCCACCAGTGACCAAGTGTTTAAGACTGTTGAATGCTGTCAGTGTTGGGTTTGAACACAGGCAAACAGATTGGCTACATGTTTTTTTTTTTTCCCCTGATATTTTTACATGTGTAGTCTTAATACAAACCAGTTTTCCTTAGAAAGCCCCAAATTTCGTCATGAGTCCTGCCATGATTTTAGATTAAATGCATAAACTGCTTATATGCCTACTGTACCCTGATTATCAGTAACGGTCATGAGTTTTGCCATATTCAAATAGCCATACCCAAACTATATTTTAAAATTTAATTTATTTTATTATGTATTTTGTTTTTGTTATTGTGAAAATTATTGATTATCAAGTACAGTATCTTAAAATTATGTGTATGTTTTAAGGTATGGCTGTAACGTCTGGAAAATTTTTCGGAAATGAAACAAGTTTCGTTGGAGGAGCTCCACGTGGCAATGGCACAGGGCAGGTTGTTTTTTTCAAGAAAAATAAAATGGAGACTACATTCTTAGTTGAGCTTGTGTTAAATGGAGAACAGTTTGCATCATCCTATGGTTTCTCTTTGGCATCATTAGACATCAACAGTGATGGGTAATTTCTAGTTTACTTCCTTTGGTGCTTTAAATTGTTTTCTGGAATTTAAAGCCTCAAAGGAAAAATTTTTAATTCATTTTTTTTCTGTCAATATTGCTAGTATTTTACTTTGAGTTATTTCAAACGTTGTACAGATTTCACATTGAGTGATTGAAATTGTACTGACATTGTAATGATATAAAAAAATTATCTGGGAAAAAAATTAATTATAAAAAAAAAAAAAAAAGACATCACTGTTAAGTGTAAAATTCTCCTTCAAAACACCCTTCAGTTTGGCTCAAACTTGAAAATTTTTGTTTGTTTGTTTGTTTTGAAGGTGACTGACATAGATTCCTCTTCTTCAAAGAATCCCCCACCCCAAAGAAACAAGGCAGTCTCTCTTCTTCAAAGAAGAACACTGTATTACTTGAAGGATAAGAATCTGTGACAAACGACTCAGAATCAATAAGAATTCTATATAAAATCTGTGCCAATATAATATGTCCCCTTTTTTTTTGCCTAGTTTTACAATATTATTAAATAAATTAACTTTGAATAGTGTTAAATTAAAGATATACTGTAAATGCATATACTAAATGAATTTACTTCCCTCAATATCAAATATAAGTTACAGGAATTAGTTTGTTGTCTCATTTAATACCAATTTACTGCATGCTTTACTTTATTTGGAGCTGATTCCCTGCTTTATGCCAGTTTCTACATATTTTACTTGTTGCATGCCAGTTATTTATATTTTTCTTATTTTATGCTAATTATTCCATATTTTTACTTTGTCACTTCACTGTGTTTTTCAACCTCAGACATGACAAATAGTATCCCCTTTAAAAAATGGAGACACACTGTGAAAATTACATAAAACAGCAGCAAGTTAATGAAGTTAAAATTGCAAGAAATATCCATAATAATAAAACATAGAAAATTGCATAGAACAGCAATTATGTTATAAATGCGAGGAACATCTAAAAAAAATGAGAGAGAGAGATAATTGCACAAATTCATGAAAAGCCATTATTATAATTGCATAGGAATAGTTGATAAATTACTTTTCCACCCATGTGCCATGTATATAACGACCTCTTTTAAGTTTAAAAAACATCAGAGAATTGCATATGCTTAGTGATTTTTCTCTGGGTTGGTTAATCACAAAGCACTGCTAATTTTTTATAAGCTTTTGGATTTTAATTCAGGGGGGGAGTTGTTCTGAATTCTTAAGGTTTTATTTTTTTATAAAATATTTTTTTAATCAAATAAATTCTATTTGTGAAACATAATAACAACAACCTTTAAATGGTTTCCTTCTGTTGCTGCTGCTAATTTTTTAATTTTATTTTTTTGCTAGTTTAACATGATTTTGAACACAGAGACAATCTACTTCAAGTTCAAATTTATTTAATTAGTTTTGTGTTTGGAAATGCATCACTTATTCTCATTGAGTATTCAGTTTTCATGTGTTTTTCATTTAATATCATGCATAGAATTTTGATATGTGTGTTGTTATTATGTGAAAACTTAAAATAATAAAATTAGAATTAGTATTATATTTTTTCCTTACAGGTATATTGATCTTGTTGTGGGTTCTCCATTTTATTATTCTAAGGGCATTGGTGGTGCTGTATACATTTATATGAATTCAGAAGAAGTAAGTTATGTTTCCAGTATTTTGCATGTCAGGCTTATTAACAGGCATGGCTAAATTGCAGCTTGTGTGCCACCTTCGCCGCAATGATAGGACCATTCACAGGAGTACCCTCTTTTCGAACTTGAGCTAACCACTCTGTCAATGCCGTGTCTAGCTCATTAAAGGTAGAACCCTTCATAGTTTTTGCGTTTTCATTGCGCGCACTGTTGCATTATGAAAGTTCCCAATTGTCTTTGCTTTAATGTCATGCATGTGTTTCGGATCCCAATCCATTCCATCTGTGCTTGTAGCGCTTTGCTACTTTAAATTAATTAGTTTTGCGAATTATCAAAAATTCTTCATTTCGACTTTAAAGATACGAAAAAGTAAAGATTAAAAAAAGGTGAATCAGAGGCCGATGATAATTAAGTAGAGGCTTTATTAAATGATGGAATTTCACGCACATGGCAACAGCACGTTTCTACATATCACACCATGACCAAGAACTACAACTGTTGCCAGATCAACCTAAGCAAAAGTATAAAACAGTTACAGGTTAAAATACATGACATTAAAACAAGAACGGGGGAGTACGTGTGATTATTCTCAACACCCTCCCTTAATCACATATTATTTTACATTTATCTCTTAAATAACATAATCTTGGTTTAGGCAAGCATTTTGTAAACAAATCAGCTAACTGATTTTCACTAGAAACATATACAAGATTTATATCATACAATTTTACAATATCCCTAATATACTTTAATTTAATATCCAAATGTTTTAGTCTAGCACAATTACTTTCATTTAATATTGCTTTAATTACAGACTGATTATCCTCATAAACTGAAACTTTAATATTGTCGACTCCTAAAATTTCTTTAGATACATTATAAAATACAGTTAGGTCTTGAATAGCTTTTGCTAAAGCCAAAATTTCTGCCTCAGTAGAGGACAGAGCAAGCAATAGATGTTTGCTTTTTAACAGACCAAGTTACAGGACAATCATTAAAGAAAATAATATACCCTGAAATAGATTTTCTATCATTTGTATCTGACCCCCAATCAGCATCAACATAAACATTTAACATAATATCAACACTATTAGATTTACAAAATAATAATTTCAGTTCAGATGTCCCTTTTAAATATCGAAGAATTTGCTTCAGACCAGCCCAAGCACTGTTAGTGGGTTGCTTCTTGTATCTGACTCAGACAGTTCACAGAAAACAGAATATCAGGACGAGTTGTCATAGATAGGTACAGCAAAGCACCTACAAGTTCACGATAAGGGCCATGAAATCTTTCACCATTCACAAAATTTGATGAAGTTGACTTAGGCACTAGAGGAGTAGTATCAGATGGCTTACAATCTAACATTCTAAATCTATTTAACAATTTTTCAACATAAGCCTTTTGGCCTAAAGTAAGTTTGTTCTGTGAATATTCAAAACTTATTCCAGAAAAATTCATTTGCAACTTCAGCCTTGGACATCTCAAATTCATTTCTAAGTAATTCAATCACAATTTTACCTCTGAATCATTAGAACCAGCAATTAGCAAGTCATCCACATACAGCACAATAAATATTTCACTCTGTTTAGTTCTTCTTACAAAAGTACATGCTTCACAGTTAAGTTGTTGGAAGTTTAACAGAATTATAAAATCAGTAAATCTCTTGAACCACTGCCTCGGTGCTTGCTTAAGTCCATAAAGACTCTTAAGAAGCTTGCACACACGACCACTGTTGTCACTGTAGCCCATTGGTTGTTCCATGTAGATTGTTTCTTGGAGATCACCATTCAGAAATGCAGTCTTTACATCTAATGCATAGATTTCAAGATTCTTTTGAACAATGATAGCCAGCACAAGTCGAAGTGATGATGTACTAATTACAGGAGCATAGGTCTCAAAGTAATCAATGCCTGGCTTCTGTTCAAAGCCACGAGCAACCAATCTAGCTTTGTAAACATTGTTTCGTTTGATGCGCAACACCCATTTACAGGATATTGGCTTTTCATCCTTTGGCAAGTTGACTAACTCCCACACTTTATTTTTATTAAGAGAAGCTATTTCCTCATCCATGGCTTTCCTCCATAGGACTTGCTCTTCTTTTGGCAATGATGTTATATCCTCATATGTTACTGTATCAAGAGTTGCCACATTAGCTTCATACACAAAGTAATCATTCAACTTTACAGGTAATTTTATATTTCTTCTTTGCCTAGTAATTTCTTCATGACTTTCTTCAAGATTTCTGGATTCTACATTACTTGAATCATATACTACTTCATCTTTAGCAGGATCTTTACTTTCTATGAAAAAAATCATCTTGAACTGAGATACATTTCCTTTTCTCTTCATTGAATTGAACAATACATTTTGAGAAACCACAACATGATTTGTGACTGGGTCCAGTAAACGATAACCCATGGTAGAGTATCCAATAAAAATCATCTTTTTTGATTTTGGATCCAATTTCTTTCTTAAGTTATCAGGAACTCTCATGTATGCATCAGATCCAAACACCTTAATAATATTCAAATCAGGCGGCTTCCCATATTTGAGCTCATAAGGTACATTTTCAACAGTCTGATTTGGAATTCTATTCTTAAGATATGCAGCTGTCTGTACAGCATAGCCCCAGAAGGATTTAGAAAGCTTTGCTTCACATATTAGAGCTCGGGAATTTAAATTATGTTTGCATAACAAAGTCCAGGTAACATTTCATTTGGGGTTCTCAATCGATTTAATAATGTCGTACTCGGCAGGTAGCGATTAACAAATAAATAATCACATCCATATCTTTGACTTCAGCACCCGAGAGCGCAGTTTATTTACGATTGCCAACAGTTTGTTAATATGTGACCTCATACTGCAATCTCGGCGTTTCTTCAGTGTCGATAATTTCTTTCATACTAATATTTGACTAACTGCACTCTGACTGGTATTTATTCTTTAAACTGCTCCAAATTTCACATGCAGAAGATTCACTCGAGAAGGTCGCCAATATGGCATCATCTAGAAGGGTTAGAAGCCTTTTTTGCATCTTTGATTTCAGGAACTTTCGTTTCATCCGCTTCAACGTCTAAATATTTATCAAGTTCTTTGGCCGCAAACACAGCTTCAATACGGCGCTTAAACAGAGAAAAGTTTTTACCGTTAAATGGCTCAACACAATACTTTGTGTTCTCATCACGTGCTGCCATTTCAAATTTCACTTAAAGCGCGATTCCGTTCCAAACAAATAAGTTCCACAAGACAAATATAAATGCTTCGCCTCTAGCGTGTTCAATATCAGAACTACGCTCTGCTGTTAAGATTTAAAAAGGTGAATCAGAGGCCAATGATAATTAAGTAGAAGGCTTTTATTAAATGATGGAATTAATCATGCACATGGCATAGCACGTTTCTACATATCACACCATGACCAAGAACAGTACAACTGTTGCCAGATCAACCTAAGCAAAAGTATAAAACAGTTACGGTTAAAATACATGGCATTAAATCAGAAACACGGGGAGTACGTGTGATTATTCTCAACAGAAAATCAAAACGCACAAGCACTGAACATAATAAAAGATAAGAAATTTACTCCGACCGGTTCGCAAACACTATCAGGCTTAAACTAACAATATCGAGTGGGAGGAAGTGGACGTGTCAGTAAGATTAAGATGAGAGACCTCCAGGGTGAGTAAGAATACACGTACTCATCAGAGGGGAAGGTTCCGAGAAGGCCGTGGGGAAGGTTCCGAGAAGGCCGAGGAGAAGGTTCCGAGAAGGCCTGGGATATTTTTGCCATAAATAAGCATGATGTTAGCAAATTTAACATTTCACTCAGTTTTGTGAACATTTTTATTTTCTTTGCTTTATTCTTTAATATATATATATATATATATATTGTTCAGCAGGCGCGGATAATCGGGAGTCTACTGTATTTGGTTTGATTTCTTTCATTGTATTGGTTCTCATGTTAATTGTATAGGAAAAACTAATGTTAATTCTTTATATGAAATCCTGAAAAAGTTTATAACTTATTTCTCAAGTAGCATACAGAGACCTAATGTCTGTTAAAAGGTGCTCTGCAAAGTACATATTACCTTAGCCTTGTGAACTTTAGCATAGAACATGTTGGTTATCATTAGTGAAGAAGTATTCATTGCATATTTATTTAAATATATTCATACATTTAATCAAAAATGTAATAATGAATAATTATATGAAGTATAGTGAAAAGTGTTAAGTAGTTTATAGAGAGCCAGTTCAAGTAATTTTAGTGTCCTTGTTGGGAGATGTTGACCCTCTAATAGGATCCTCTCTGAAATCGCATTTTCAGTAGCAGGTTCTGTTAATTTAATCACTAATCATGATATTTCAGAAACAAAAATTATGTGCATGTGTTCATAAATACACTATACACACTAATCCGCATCTAAAATTTGTATAAGAGAAAGACTACATATTGTATATTTGTTGTGATCAGTCTAATTTGATAACACTGGACACACAAGAAGGCTTATTATCTGCCAAAGAATGTAATTTAATCATTTTTATTAATATTATTTGAGAAATTCTGCATTGAAATACGAATATTAAATGAAAAAATAGTTAAACAGAAAAGTAAAAGTTGAAAGATGTAATCTGATTTTTAAATTTCTTCTAAAAAATAAAACAGTGTTATCATCAATTATTTTGTGACTGGTAAAAAAAAATAAAAGGAATTCTGAGTTTAGCATATGTAGAGAACTGAAAAATTTTAACAATCCCAAACTTTCTGCCACTGTTCCAGAAAAAAGCAGTTAAGCATTAACATATTCCAGACCAGAAGAATGAACAGCAATTGACAATAGTTATTGGCCCTGCAAGCAATTGCCATCAGCCAAGCACAAGCAGTACAAGACATTGTGCCACTGAGTGCAATCTTAGCAGGTTTTACGTTCTCCTGCCTGATTCCTCAAAAACTTTTACAGCTCAGTACCTCTTGTAAATTCTAAATATTTTAACGCTCTGTTTTCTAAATTTTAAAAATGTTGCTGCTTCTACATTCTGTCATCCAGTGCATTCACATTGGTTGCATTAGCTCTGATGCTACCCCTGCATCTGTGGTGCCATGGCCTTGGTGACTAACAGCTTTGGCTTCAGAAATTTAAAGTAGAAAAATCCTGTTTCAATGTGAAATGGAAAGTTTTTGTGTTAATATTTATGCATGCTTGTTATTATAGTGATCCTCTGCCATCTGTCTTTATTTCACAAAGCCACACACATTCTGACTGGTTATTAGTACCATGTGGATCTGAGTTAAATATTCAAAAATTTCTATAATGTGAAAAATTTTTAGAGTCCTTTAAAAGCTGCATGGCTTCAATACTGGTCCTGAGCACATAAACAGATAGATGTGTACTTAATTTCGCAGAAAATAGCCTGATTTAGGAAATTGTTAAAAAAAAATAGTCTCCTCTATTATTATGTAATGAGTTGGGTATTTATTTTTTATGTTGATTGCTATATTGCTAAATTGATTGTTTGTTCTTGATGTGGATATGTTTTATTTAAAATATGTCTACATCAAAAATGTTGTAGTGAAATGGATCAAGATATTTTCTGCAGGAATTAAAAAAAAAATTGTTGCCCATTGAAGCTCAAATAAACAGATATTTAAAAAAAGAGAATTAAAGTTTTGTGAAGGATTGCATAATATTGAAATATGAGGTACTAATTAATAATTTTTCTTTCTAAACTTGAAGCAGTATTATGAGTGTTGAAATTTTAGGATTTTGCAGTGCTACTTTTCGGATTTTCTTAAATGGACTAAAGTTTAAATTTTAGGAGACAAAACTGCTGAATAATCAGTCTTAATAATGTAAATTATGCAAAATAATGCTGTTTAGAAAATCAAAATTTTTTATGAAGTTTAAATATTGAATTACATATTTCAAAAATTTCTGAATTTATAGTATTTGTAAGATCGAATGTTATTTTAATAATCATCAAATGATCGTAGGGTATATCTGAAGAAACTGAACCTCTGAAACTAACAGGAAAGCCAGAATCACAATTTGGTTTCTCTTTGGCTTCTCTGGGAGATTTAAATAAGGATGGTTATGCAGGTATATGGAAAGATTTTTTCTGAATACTTATTCTTTATATCAAGTAAGTTTGTACACTGAAAATGTTTATCTTCATCCTTATCATGCATGAAAAAATCTCAGTATCAGGTGTATGGAATAAGAGCTAATATTTGTTTCTGTTTTCTTTTGAATTTTAGAAGCTTAACAATTAAAAAATGTGAAAATTTAATCTAATTTTTTAAGTCTAAAATTAATTAATATGAAGGTTTTTAATAATTTTAATTGAGCTTATTATGTAAAATATATATCATACATTTCAAGAATAATTTATTAAATATATTTATCCAATATTTTATTTTAAATTATCCAATATTATTATATATTTTATTTTAAAATTTCAGTGTCATGAATATGTAACTTATAAATTTACTTCACATACAGATTTAAATATTTTACAGTTCATATTATAAATTGCAGGATATATCTGTTTGTGAATGAGAAACATGATAGTATAATGTAAGATTAGGCAAAAAAGCAACTGTACATTGACAAAAAAAATTAAAAAAACTAACTGTTTACATAATACAGTGAATAAATCCATATGATCATGTTAAAATTTCATTACGTGCAAACAAGTAGTAGTATCCTTGGGTCTTAATTTCTTTTTAGAAATTTAGAAGTTAATTTTCTGTCTTTGTATTGATAACTCAGCAAATTTCAAGGTCTTATTGATTAAGATGTGTTTAATATTCATATTATAATATTAGCATCTTAAGTAAAAAATATCATTCTTGAAAAATTCATTATTGTTCAGCCAATCTTATTGTGCTGTATCCTTTTTAATGTGTAATGATCATGTGAAACTTTCTGTGCAGATCTAGCTATTGGTGCTCCATATGATGATAAAGGTGCTGTCTTCATCTACCTTGGCTCTGCAGATGGTCTTCTGACCGAACCTTCTCAAGTCATTCGTTTGGAAAATTTGGCCAAAGAAATTCGTGTGAAAAGGGACCTTAGCTCCTTTGGCTACTCACTTTCTGGAGGATTGGATTTAGACAGCAATGGATATCCAGACTTATTAGTTGGGGCTTATGACAGCGATAGTGCAGTTCTACTCAGGTTAGTTTGTTCTGATTGTTTTTCAACATTGTCTCTTTGTTTTTAGCAAAACATTATAGTTTCTGTGCCATCGCTGCTTTATTTTTAATATCTGTTTATATATCTGAGGCTTGCATGTAAAATGTGTATCTTTTTACCTGTGTCGGGAAGTTAATGGTGAGAAGGATTTTTCCCATTTATCATGCTTTTATTGTTTATTGGGGTTTTTGTCAGTATTTATTTAGGTAGCCAAAAATTTCATTTCATATCTTGAAGTTCCAACAATAATATTAATGAATGGGTAAAAGTCATAGGACTCTTATGATTTTGTCCTGGTTACTAGAGGAACAGTATGTTAGTTGAAAACTGCTAGAGAAAGAAGTACTTTTTCATTCAGATTTGCAAATAGAGTTAAATGTAGTAATATTGTAATAGAGTAAATGTAGTAGGATTGAGGGAAGTTAAAATTTTCAGACCGTTATACACATTCTTATAAGGATAGAATGTGAATAATGCAAGTGTAATTTCATCGTAAGTGAAGGAACCATGAGCGAACAGAAACCCGCATTTGCCATTTGGACCAGTTTAAGTTTGTCACTCACAGGAGAGACAGTGTCATCAGAGTTCTAATGTTGTTCTTCATTGACATAATTTTCTATCTAAGCTTCCTTCTGGATAACACTTAAAATATCTTGGCTAAGTGCCTGCCAAGATTATCATAATGCTGATTAACAGATACTTAGTAATAACCATAGTCACCTGTGATGTGCATAACTAGTGCTACATTGCATGGCATGGTCTAAAGCCAGGAAAGTATCAGACTGAGTAGTACTTTGTAATTTGAGCATAACAGCCATGATAGCAGTAGGCCTTCCAGTAGTTTCCTTGATAAGGAAATAATATAAAATTAATGAGTTTTGATTATATAATCATCAGATATGATTATATTTTAATGACATTTTGATGATTAATTCAACATATTTAAAAAACGATGTAACAGAATGTTAAGATTATGTTGTAAAACAATAATCTTGTTATGCTAGTTGAAGTTCAGAATTGAATTTTATCTCGCATATTTTCATCTAGTCATTTTGCATGTAAATAAATAAATTAGTTTACAAGTGGTTGAATAATTTGTTTTTGAGATAACCAAATTTGTAGGTGCAGTTATGAATGTTGTATCAGTATTTAGAGAAATTGCAGTATTTATCTAGTTGAGAAAACATGTGCTACTTATTATTACAATTCTGTAAGCACTAATTTTGCTGTGCTTTTGTTAGTTAATGTAACTTAAATGTATAAATTAACATTAATATTTTTTAAACATTCTATCTTAGAATGTTACAATTCATTCATTCTGTTTTCATCCTTAGATCAAGGCCAATAATTGATATTATAACATCAGTTGAAGGAAACTTGACGAATATTGACCCTAAAGTCATGGGTTGTCCAGAAGATCGAAATACATCTTTAGTTTGGTAATTCAACTAAATTTTTTAATTAAGTACCCGATAATTTGTTAATTATTTTAGCTTATATGCTTCAATTTAAAATTTCTTCTATTTAGGTAATGTGTATATTGATTTAAGAGTTTTTCTGGCTTTTATGTTGTCTTATGTCACAATTATCATTTCAGCTTCTCCTTTGAGGCATGTTTCCAGTTTAACTCATCGGTTTTGTCTCATGGAACATACATTAAAATCCGGTATAGAATAGAGGCAGAGACTTTTACTGGAAAGAAATATTATCGTGCTAAGTTCAAGTCATCCTTGAACTCGGAGACTCCCAATATTGTGGAGAAAGAATTAGGTATTCGTGGGGTTTCACTTTATGAACCACACTGTTCAAAACAGCTGGTTTATCTAAAGGTGAGAGGCTTTTTTTTTTTTTTTTTTTTTTTTTTTTTAATTTTTAAAGTGCTGGAAATTAAAACCTTTAAATGAATGTTTCTCAATTTTTGTTTAGTCTTTAAGCATGATGAACAGGTCTGTTTAAGTGTGAGAATTGTTTCCCCATCACTGAAAGTGAAAACTTATTTAGCTACATTTTCTTCTACTTTATTTAGCTACTAATTCTCTTTTTATGTAAAATGTTCAATAACTATATATTTAGATTAAATTTTGATCTTTTTTTAAAAATTTTATTTATTATTTTTATATATGCACGTAAAACCAATGAAAATCATAACTTATGTAGCAGATTTCCTTCAGAAATATTCCCGTTATGCAATTACTCTTGCAATTTTTTTTAAACCTCTGAAAATTAGAATTTTCTGAAACGTAGTTCTGTTATACTTTTAAAATGCATATAGAGCTAATAATCATAAACAGGTAGATGTATGTGCAAAATGCAAAATATTTGTGTCAATACTATTACATTTTGCTTCATCAAAGCGTTTTACATTAGTAATAAAATGAATATGTTAAATTTTGTGAATTTTTTTGAATAATGATATGAAGGTTTTTAGCTGATTTCTCTAGCATAGCTCATGGTTAGAATACTATGTTCAAAAGATTGGCAGGAAATATTTGAACTGATCTGTTTGGAAATGTAAAAAACTCTTGCTTAGTCTTAATCAGTGGAGTATCCATGGGAACACAAACGTTTGCTTCAATAATCTTGAAATTCCAAGAAACTCTGACTGAATACCTCTTTTGTTATTTATCATAGACTAGTCATTGCATCAATATAGTAGCTCTGATTGTTTGAAAATGTTGACCCTATAAACGACATATTAATAACAGAGAATAGTGATATTAGAGGTGAAAAATCTTGTGATTTTGGGCAAGAGAAAAATCTATTTCTGATCAAAGAAACCAAAGCTTCTCTGCTCAAATTCTCTTTATGCAATTCTGTCCAATGGTTGAAAGATGTTTTAACTCTATTTGCATTAAAGTATGAACTTCATACAACTTTCTGTAGAGAGAACAAAAATGCTCTGTTAACTGGCATATGTGATTACTGCAGCCATAGGACATGACTTTTCCATGCTCTTTTTGAAACTACAAGGAACTGAAAACAATGCAGATATTTGTGTTTTTATTGAATAAATACTTAATTATGTATAATTCTGTTGAATAAATGTATAATTATATACAATTTTATAGATTAAATATCTATTGATATATTAATATTTATGTTGAATATGTAACTATTAATATGCATGAGCCTGAAACGCCTTTTTGTTGCATATTTTATTTATATTTACCTTAAATGTATTTATTTATTTTTAGGAGAAAACTGATATTCAAACCCCTATCAAGTTTAAACTGACTTATACACTAATTCAGAAGGAACCTAGAATGCCTAAAGAAGGGGAGCGTTTACCCGATATAAATCAGTATCCTATTCTAAATCAGAAAGAGGCATCCAAGGTGTTTGAGGTAATTGTGTAATGCTGTCTCTTAATTTATGAGTAAAATCATTTATGGCAATTAGGCAGTGTGCTTTGCTGTAATAAAATAAACCAAACCAACTATTTATGGCGATCACTGCCTTCATTTATATATATGTTAAGTGAATAATATTATGTTAAAATAACGTTTATTTTGGTTATAGTTATCCTTAACAATTTATTTGTATTTATATGATATACTAGTATTTTTATTCTTTCTTTCTTTGTATTTATGCTTATATCAAGATGTGCAACCACGCTATAAAAGTCTTTGAGAATTCTTTTTTAATTTAGAACTTCTTCAGAATTCTGTATTACATTTTACAAAATATCAGATTTCCCAAAATGTTTGCAGATATGCTTTTTGACTTTGATTCAAATACAAATTTTAGCAATATGTCATATATCAGATCCAGTATTTCTCCCAGTACAATGACAGATGACTATTAATAGTTCCAGCTAATTTTAATATTCCATGAATGTGGAGCTAGCTTTAGAGAGATAATTTCCAATACCATTGTTTATTTACTCTCTGTAAAATACTTATTACAGTCAACAGTCACTAATCTGGACTTGTCGGGACTTCGGCGATTCCGGATTATCGATTTTTCCGGATTATAGATCATCAGTTTAAATCTTGTAAGATGGCATGCAGAAATTCTAAAATTAAAAATATGAAACCATAATTTATGAAATAAAGAACAATTATGATCTAAAGGGTATCAAAATTCGCAAAAAGAAAAAGCTTAATATTTATTTGTTTACTTTATTAAACATTTCTTTCAATGTAAGTTGTTTAAGTTTTGCTTCCTTTCAAGTGATAATACTTTCTCTTTAATTCTATTAAACAGACATAATTTCTTGTTCAGTTACAAAGTTCCGCTGTTCAAGTCCTATAATTGCTGTGTCGAGAACACCGACTAATTTGTCAATCAAAAGTTTTTCGTTTTCACTAACCTCTGTTACTTTCTTCGCTATCCGAAGTGAATTATAATGATGAGGAACTTGTTTTAAATCATATCAAAGACAAGATGGAGCACATTGAGATGAAAGACTAATTTGGTAAGGAATTATAAGCCAAATAAAATAAAAACATCTGCCCTGAAGATAAGGATAGTGCTGACAGATCAACTTCCAATTCATTACGCCCCGCTGCCCCCCCCCTGCCGAGCAGCGTGAAATTGATAAACAGATTTCGGATTTCAAAACATACTTTCGCTTTAGATCCTTTACATATTAACAAATATATATCGGAAATTCTATTTGATATAATCGAAAGTTTAAGCTTACTTTTATAAAATTGCTCTTACAGTCTGCAAAAAATAATAAGCCGGATCCAATTCGAAAATTAAGGAACAACGTAATCATCAACATTAACTGAAATAGATAATTAGATAATTTTAGCTTATACGTCCATTATACATAAAACGCGCACGCGAAAACGTATTCTGCACTTGCGAACACTCATATGCGCATGTGTTTACGCGGCACATGCGCAGAAAGTTTTTAGTTTTGAGGTCCGGATTATAGATCATTCCGAATTATGGGTGTCCGAATTAACGACTTTTGACTGTACTTTTATAAATGGGTATTTACTGGAGATAGTTCCTATGAGAGATTTCAGTGTGTTGTTATTAAATCTGTATTGCACTGAAAAAGTATTTCCAGAGTAATTTCTATAAATAATAAAAAGTGTCTTTGTGGCTGTAATATCATTAGTGTCAATTATTCTAAATTTCCATGAAGCATTGTGTGGTATTTAAAAATGTTAAACACTTTGTCCAGAATTGATAAACCTTGCCACATTAGTTTTCTGTTGCAAACATATTTATGAATGGTTATGCCCCTAAAAATACTCAAAACGTTAAAATTCATACTTGAACAAGTTCTTATTAATTTATATAAACAAAATTCATAGGTAAATCTCACATATCTGTATATCAGATTGCAATAAATAGAGACATTTTTTATTGAAAATGAATCTTATTAAATTACCTATTGTTTACCACAAAATTCATTTGGAACTGTAGGAGTTTTTGTATATGTTTTTATGATAAGTTAAGGTTGTGACACTATCTGGCAGTGAAAGTTGGAAGCATGTACGTGCTGGTTAGCATCAAATCATGGGCCCTTTAGTTTACAGGCAAGGAATTAGTAACTAGTAACTGGAATAAAAATTATGAAATTTTGTCAAATGAAAATGAAATTAGTACGTGCTGGTTAGCATCAAATCATGGGCCCTTTAGTTTACAGGCAAGAAATTAGTAACTAGTAACTGGAATAAAAATTATGAAATTTTGTCAAATGAAAATTAAATTAACCCTCAAAAGTTTTGTATTGACTAAAATATCACGTGCGAATTTTTTTCAGAATTTTTTGTTTCACTTTTATTGCCTGCAAGAGCCTTGAAATTTTATAATGTACAGTACAATCAAGAACTTTAAATAAATTTTAGCTTTTTTTTGAAGTAACAACACTGCTGTAGAGCTTACTTTAAAAAATTGCAGCTTTTTGCTGGTTCAATGAACCCAGAACTCTCCAACAACAAGTTCTACCTGTGTCCATCCCAACTACTGCGTTTTCAGACTTAGTTTAGACCTAGTTTCCAAAGTAAGCATGATTGACCTGTCCAAATTTTTTGTTCCGTTTACTTTATATCTCAAGCTCCAGCCTCACATATTGTCTTTATTAATTTTAACACACCTCTTAATTTAACACCTGGTTATGGCATGGAAAATAGAAAGTGTATGATGGCCTTCTTTGATGCACCATTTTTGATACATACATTTTGAAGTAAACTCACTATTGACATATTAGTCAATGTATAACTTCTGAGAGATACTTCGTTTTTATCTGACATAGTTTTACAAAATTATGAAACTCAAAATTGCAAAATTATGAAGATTCAAGGCTCTTGCAGGGAATGAAGATTAAGTAGAAAAATAATGAAAAAAATCATGAGTAATATATTGATCAATACAGAACTTTAAAGGAGTAGTGCATTTCAGTTAGACAACTTTGTTTTCCTCTCCATCCTAATGCATATTTTCAATGCTCCAGTTGGAGAGCACATGAATGAGTGTCTGTGCATTGAGGTGTGTAGAGAATGAGTAAAGTTCCTATAAAGCATTTTATATTATATCCATTGTCACCACTCTTCCATGATTTGCCTAAAGTTAAGGTGGTATATTATAGTGGTGGCACTGAATTGGAAGTGTATAATTTCTGTAATTTGGTATCTAATTTTAGTGAACTGTTTAACACCATGCTTCAAAAAGCATGCTTAAACGTATCTAAAAGCATGTGCACAAGAAAGGCAGGCACTAAATATGCCATGCCTTTCTTGTGAACAAGCACAAATGCTACAAGACAAATTATGTTTTCCTATAATCCTTCCTAATTTATTCCTGCTTTTTCCCAAATGGCCATAAGATGCTTTTGAATTTGACTCATAGGCATTTTTGTTTCCATACATGTTTCAAATAGTTTTCCCATTTCTTGTGAGTTATTTAAATATTTTTGTAACAGTGAAATATAAATGTAACATAAATATAAATGTTTGTAAATATGTCAAGCATTTTAATGCAAGTGTATTTACTATTCAAGAATTAAAGTTAAATACAGAATGAAGTTATTACTTCTTTTTCAACTTTGGATTACTTTTTAAGCATGAAGTATCAAATATTACTGAAAAGTCAGATATGTATGCATAATATACAAAATATAATATTTTATTTCTTGTGGAAAAAATTTCTAGTAAACTGTACATGGTTTACTGTATTTTTTATGTCTTTTATGACACATATATTAAATTTACAATGGAAATATATTTTACAAATAATAATTTTCTCTTGTACAAGTTTTTCTATTATTTACTTACTGTATCATTTCCCTTCTTTTGACAGGCTAAGTTTTTGAAAGATTGTGGATCTAATGACATTTGCGAATCAGATCTACATATTAGTGCTGAACTGAATCTTCCAAAGTAAGTCTGAAAAAGTTCATGATAATATGAACATATGCACATAAGCATTGCAGTTAATGTTAGCATCATAAAAATATTTCATAGTTTATAATGCTGTAATCTTCTAAGGTGTATTTTATTCACATAAGTAGAAGGTGTAGATCAGAAAATTATTCTTATAATGTAAGTTTCTGAGCTATTGCAAAAAATATTTTATAATATATAAATTATTTCTGTAGTATATAAATTTCTTAATTTCAAGTGTTTATAAACATTATATTTTGTTCTTGTGGCACTGTATACGTATTTTAATGATTTATTGCTTATGTTAGTCGAATGTTTAGTACTAGTAGTATTTACATTTATTCTCTCCACTTCTGTTTTGTAAGGCAGTGGCTAATTTGGACAGTTCAGATGTTCTTAATTGCGTCTTTTCAAAATTTGTGAATCATTATGTTTGTCATTATGAATGATTGTTATGAATCATTGTGAATCATTATTCACAATGATTCAATATATCATTATTTGTGAATCATTATGAATCATTGTTATATTTGTGAATCATTATTTGTTATATTGTAATTCATTATGTTTGTTATTTTTATTTATTATTATTATTATTATTATTATTATTATTTTTGCATTCATTATGCATATCTTGTGCATTCATTTTAGCAAGTGCTGCCACTGTGCAAAACATGTCGTCTCTTAATGTGTCTGCAACGTCTTGAAAACATTAGTTCTGAGAATGTTTCTTAATTTATTTGTTAAATTTTATCAGTTTTTGATTACTTAAAAATATTTAGTTTTTAACTTGACTGATATAAATTAGAATGCATCTAATTTTTAATGTAACTGAATAATAATTTTTTATGAAAAATTTCAGTGTTAGTATAATTAATAAAAACATTTTCTATATATAGTATATATCACTTCAGACTCATAGCTAACGTTTCCAGCATCCAGGGACAGCTGAAGATTTTGCACACCCTCCTGTTTGCTTAGAATGGAGAATATTTAATTAAAAAATATCGTAGCATCAGTTTGACTCCTAGGGAGAGATGTCCTCCCCCCTTGCCCCTCTCTAGTTATGTCCCTGTATTTCTCATGCCACATATATTTAAATTCTATAAAATCTTTTTTTGTAAAGAGTGAATCATTATTTACACCTTTTTAGGTAATTATTTACTATATTTGTAAGTGGTTTTTCACATTATAATTTACAGGAGATGTAATAATTTTTGAATTCTTAAATCTAGGCATATTTCAAATTCATGTAATGTGTAAGAAACATAATTCTCAATTTGTAAACTCTTGTCAGATGTGCAAACATGAAATGCTATTCAAACCATTTTTGAGAAAAGCATCCCCTACCAAGAAGTATAAAGGAAGATCTCTCAGAAGTATTCTATCCAAAAAAAGGACTTTTTTCTCAATTTCACTACCACAATTTTTTCTCCAGTGCCATAAAATATTGTATATACATACATGAAACAAATCACTTAATGCAATAATTTTCCAAAAAGTTCAGGTAGAAACCTTCTGTTCAAAATGGTTCTGGGAGGAATATCTTTCTCTCAAAAGATTAATGTCTATTAAAGGCTGAAAAATCTGCAAAAATTCTTATAGCATTCCGAAAGCTATTCTCAGTTATCGTCTCTGAAGCAGACAAAGTATTCTGAATCTGTTTATCACTGCACCTCCCCTTTTGAAAGAATTTATCTGTTTTGATGTTTATAATAATTTATTTGGGTAGGTAAATGATTATTCTAATTCATTAGTACTAAAATTGTATTTGAATATTTTGGTGTTTAATGATGTGCAAATTTATCAGTTTTGTATCAGTTAATGGTGTTAACTATATGCACAGGTGAGAGTAAAGCAGTGTTACTTTATTATGATTTAGAAAAGAACAATGAATTAAAATTAATTATTGAGTTTCTGCAGTGTTACTTATAAATAATTTGCACATTAATTTTCTTGGTGTTATATTATTTTAAATTATGTTACCACTGAATTTATATTTTATGAATATTGGGATGCTACATGCACTCTTGCTTCCATAAATTCATTTCAGTTAGCTAATGTAAACTATAGGGCATATCTTGCAACGTGAATTTCTTATGCAGGAACTTTTTTTAATAAAATGCAATAAATAATGTGGCAATGAAAAATAAGATTTCATTAAAAGAAAAGGAAAATACTGAGAACTGGTTTTCACTGCAGCTGAGCAATCATCATTATTTTAAATCCTATATGAGGCTAATTGAGGTGTCTATAAAACAAGTTTAAAAATATAGATATATATTAAATAAATGCTCTATCTGTCACTTTCTGAATAAAGTTTTCAATTTTTAAATACGATTTCTGACTAGAAAATCGCAATGAATCACTGTAAGTCATCACAGATGTGGAGAAGTTTTTTTTAAAATTATTATTATTATTATTATTACAGCTATAGTTCCAGTTTTTTGTTTGGAAATGAATTATAGTATAGTTTATTAGAAGAATTGTAGTATGAATTATAGTATAGTTTATTAGAAGAATTATAGTATATTTTTTGTTACTAAGTAGAATAACTAGTAAGGAATATAGTATGATATACCAAAATATTTTTAAAATGACAATTTTATTTTGCAGGCAAAAATCTGGTATTCCAGTGTTATATCTTGGAGAGCAACAAGTGAATTTATCTATAATTCTATATAACCATAAAGAACCTGCGTATGATGCTGCCTTATATGTTACCCATCCAAGCACTTTGAGTTATATTGGACGAAAAGTTGTAGTAAGTTGAATATTATTGGAAATGTATCTTATCTTCGAAGAGCTTTTAATTTTTAAATTTAATACAGCATTGTTATATTTTATATGAAATATGAATTTTTAAATATGTATCCAAATTGATTTAATTTCTTCACAAGTATGAAAGATGAAACTGCTTGTAATATTTTTTGACAGTCTCCAACAATTAGAATATATTTTTTCTCCTTTTTTGCTGTGAGATTCTGCAGCTTGGAATTGTGTTGTCTGGTGATTCTGCAGTTTGGAATTGTAATGTCTGATACATGAACGATTTAGGAAATGCCTGAATTACTTTATCATTCATATGAAAATTTGTTCTCAAAGATGGTTCATTAGAAGAAGGCCAAAGAACCATAGAAAAATAATAGAAACAACTCAGTTAAGATTGAACCGATTGTAACTCCCTTAATTTAGATGGCTATGTAGGGCCTTGTCATGCTGTGGAATGACACCTTTACTTGATAATCCTGCAAATTTCTTCTACCTTCTGTGCTTTATTAGACAATAGCATGAAGTAGTCCTCATACACAGTAAATTGCTCATCATTCAAAATCATCTGGTTGACATGGTATGTGGATTCACTCATCATGGCAGTTTTGGACCAATTTTTCATGGGATTGATTATAACAGATCGATTCTTAGTCTTTACAGTAGCATTTACAACATTCAAGCACTGATGATTATGCAGCAGAGCAGTGCAAGTTATTTTTCCCTTATCCAAATGCAAATGTTGCCAACAGCAGACGTTTTTTGGTTCAAACAGTGGTACCAAAAGCCATCCTTGGTTAAGGAATTGAAACACTTACATCAGTAGGGAAAATACAAACACTCTTGATAAATAAAACAAAGACAATTTTCACTTATTCCATTTAAAATATAGAAAAGAAACTACTGTTTTAATGAAAAAATAATACCACAAAGCAAAAATATTTGGGTTTTGAATTTCTTTTCACCAAAAGTTTCTGTATATTTTTCCTGTACCACAGTTAAGCAGTCTGATGCAATCTTGAATAATGCAGTGCACGAACGTAGTTGTTATATGCAACTGTCAGATGTGCATAATTTGCTTTGTAACTGTTATGAAATTGAATAAATTTTGTGTTTGAGTTATTAGGACAAAAGCTTAATATTTATTGTATATCTTTTGTAATTTGCAATAAATTGTGCAATTTGTTGACTTTTCTTTGACATCGAAGTGCAAGACATTTGGATCTATAACTGCTTTATTGCCTATGTTAGTTGATTTTTTTCTTTCGTTTCTGTAAAAAAATAATAGCAAAAGAAAGGAAAAAATCCTAATGTCATTTATCTGTTTGTAAAATTATTTAATTGTATAAAAGCATGTGTAGATGTACTGCAGTATTTAAAAAACAAGTTACTTCCTTGCTGTTAGAATTTTGTTATTGAATTCTTATTTTAATAATTTGTCTACCTCTTTTATATTTTTCCCCCTTATTTCAGAAAGGAGAACCAGTGGAATGTGTACCATTTAACAGCACTGTTTTAAAATGTGAAATTGGAAATCCCATGAATAAGGGTGAGGTATGTAAAACTTTCTCACTTATTTGTTATATAGTAAAAAGTCCAAATTCTAGACAACCAATATGTGGAATGATGTAATATCCAGACTTCTGGACCACTAAAACTTTTTTTTTTTTTTTTTTTTTTTATTTATTTATTTTTGCAAAAGGGGAGAAAGAATGAAATTTACGTCAAGTAGGCACATTTGAACCTTTTTTTTTAAATAAAAGATGTGTGAGGAGAATGCTGATTTTTTTATATCACTTTGATACTAAACATTTCTATGTTGAAAGAAGCACACAAACTAATATATAGCTATATGATAAATTTGTGGTAAAAAAAAAAAAAAAAAAAAAAAAAAAAAAAATGCACACACAACACAAATTATTCCTGTAGTTGGGTTTTCTGTGCTTAGCATGCATTTTAAACCTTTACACTTGCTTATACCTCTGATGCCAACCTGTGAATAATTTTCTATTAATCTTTGCTTTCATCACTGCATGACTATCAATTCATACGAACTGAAGAAATGACTCTGCCAGTGATATCTGAAACAGTTTTTTGAAAAAAATATTAGTAACTGAATGCCAAAACGCATAGTAATCTTTTGAATTGACATTATGCTTGGCCGTGATTACAGACTTTAGCCAACTGCACTGCCAAGGTTAGAAATTTAACAGATTTTTCTTCCATATGAAATATATATATATATAAATGTTATTCATAGACCAAAAGATTAAATTTAATGCTCTTTGAATTAAGAATAACCAATTTGTTGTTCAGATAAGCCATTCATATATGTGGGAATATATTTGTTCTGAACTCAGATAAGCCTTGAGCATATGTTGGGAATTTATTAGTCAGAACTCACATAAGCCTTAAGCATTGCAAACTAAACTAATATAATTCAGGCTTAACTTCCTCTATGTGCAGTAGAAGCAAGGCGGAATGTAACAGAGGAATGTGTTTTTAGTCACTAGTCTTATAATACATTACCAAAAGTCTGTAGCAGATGCTAGGGAAGCTTTATCATGATAACCATGTATTTGAAATTTTCCAGTTTGTGGAATTTGTGAAGAAATTCACAGAAGTGGTAATAAATGAAAATGCTTTAACAGAAATTTTCCATTGCGATCATGATGCCTACAATCCAGTCAGGTAACGAATGGCCAAAATCTGTAGTATGGTTCAAAATCTAGTTAAGTATTGTTATTGATGAGGAAGAAAGTAATAGGTTGCTGGAAAAAAAAGTTTAACAATTTAATGGAAATTCTGAACATGACAATTAAACTAAGTTCATTGTTTTATAGTACCCAGTTTCATGTGCAGGATTTTTGTTCAGACGAGGATATCAAAATCAGTGCATTTTGTGGCCAAGCAATTAATACTTTATATAACCTATAATACAGTATTATAATAAATCAATGTATCTAAATTCCTGCTTAAATTTTTTTTTGCTTTTTTATATAGGTAGAATTCCAAATTCGATTCAGTCCACGAAACGTTTCTGATGATGAAAAACAGCTTAAATTTGTTTTAAAAGCAAACACGTAAGTCTGGATTTTTATAACTCTGATTTTTTCACTTGTTGTTATTAATTATTTGAATACATACCGTAGATTAAAGAGGTAAAGTAAATAACTAGAAAATATTTTCAATTTTGAAATAAAATTGTGCTTAAAAATTATCCCATAGTTACAACTATTACATAATATTATTCATTAACCTTTACAGGATTTTTGGCTAGGGATTGATGGGAAAGGACACATGTATCAGAAATCAATGTGTTTATTGCATTTTGGTTACATACCTGGAAAGAATTGTTAAAAAACATTTAACACACCTCCATGTAAACGCCTTTTATAGTGCAGACTGTGTTTAGGCAGATGCTGCCTCATTTTACACGTTCAAAAGTATCACTGGTGTGAGCACTTCTATCACCTTTATAATTTGCATGTGCAGATCTGTAACATCCGCCACAGGCATCTGATACACTCTTTTCTTTGCACCTCCTCCCAGAAAAAATTCTAAAGAGATTATTTGTTTATTTAGGATGCAGTCCGGCCCTCCTGATGAGCAAATCTCCTGGTATGACACAAAGGAGCTGCACCCATTGTAAATAGGTTATATCTGATAAACACCATTGAAAGAAATCTAGAGGAATCAACTCTCCCCAGAAAGAAACTTAAAGGTGTCAAGTGCATACCAGTGTCCCCTCTGGACAAAATTTGTTGTTTCTTTCCAGGAAATCACAATGCAATGAACACATTGATTTTGAGATTGTGCAATTCTTTTTCTTTAGTCCTGTATTGGACATCGTGTATTTTTAAAATCAAATTTAAAAATTTTTATGCATGAATAATGTAATTCATATTCTATTGTAACTATTTGTGTCTTATATTTATTTATCAGTAATTATAAGCAATTAAAAAAACATTATATGCTGTTTTCCTGTTTTGCATAATTTGCATCTGATAATCATGGTTACACTTATGTTTGATATGTATATTATCTTTTCATTTTTAATTTTAGGACAAGCATCGAAGTATTACCTGAAGAAGATTTTATGCTAATTGCAGATGTTGTTCGAGTAGCAGAACTGGAATTGAGAGGGTAATTGTAATATAATATTTTAACTCAGTTGGCTAACTTTTTTATACTTCAGACTTATCAAATAATGTCTACTATTAAGTGTTTAGTAATCTTACATGCATGCACTTCTAAAAAAAAAAAATCTGTCTTTATGTGCACAGTCAGTTTCTTTTTGAGCTAAATTTAGTTCAATAATGATTCATTTCTCTGAAACTTATAGTGAAATTTTTAGAAATAGAGCTTTTCTCCTTTCTTTTCCCGTCTCAGAATTAAAAGACACAGATTTAGAGTTTGTATTTTTGTTACATTAAGTGATGTTTACATTTTTGTAGTTGTGAATCTGTATTTATTTTATTTTGAAACTGTCTTTTCTTGAGTATTCATTTAAGGTTCAATGAAATGTGAGGAACAAGATCTCTGTGTGATATTTAAAGCAGTCATTTAAACTTGAAAACAGTTTATTATTCATATAATGTATAAATTATGCATCCATAATGAATTTTGAAGAATAGGAATTTAAAATTTCTTTTGCAATATTTGAGATAATTTATTTTATTTATTAAACATTTCATAAAAATAACATTTTTGTTCCCCCATTGTTGCATGTGAGTTTTGTTAATATTATAGCTTATTATTTGACGTTATCTTAAATAATTCAGAAAAACCAGACATCATCATCAAATGGGACAGAGACTGAGCAGAAGTAATTTTTATTAATCATTTGTAATATAAAAAGTTATTTTTCTCTACTTTTAGATTTTACCCAAGCTATAATATTAACAAAAAGAGTTTTGTTAATATTATAGCTTATTATTTGACGTTATCTTAAATAATTCAGAAAAACCAGACATCATCATCAAATGGGACAGAGACTGAGCAGAAGTAATTTTTATTAATCATTTGTAATATAAAAAGTTATTTTTCTCTACTTTTAGATTTTACCCAAGCTAAGTATTTAAAATTATAATGTATGCATGGTTTAACATAGGTCTGTACTATAAAGGGCATTTACAATGAAACCTTGGTTCATTAATCCACTCCTGAAGGCCATATGTCAACCAAAATGTTCCCAACCCCCAAGGAAAAAAAATCTCTGTAGCAATTAGTATAAAATGGATTAATTATTCCTTATTAAAACTTTATTCGCTTCCTTAAACTTTACACTGTACTTTTTCTACAAGATGCTAACCCAAAACCTGTGGAGATCATTAAATATAAAATAGAAGATAAACACAGTATCATAGAGAAGGTATCTCTATGAAGGAGAATGAATATCATAAAGGGAAATTTTTTCGATGAGGTAGTTTCTTCCATAAAAACATCAGGCAGCTGTTTAAGTGCCATTCAGCTATGCTTGAGACTCACTGGGCTTCTGTTTTACTTAAAATTTGTCTAATGTGATTTGTCATTGCCTACATTTTTAAATGTTTAAAAAGTGAGACATGGCATTGTCATTGAAAATTTGTTTGTTTTAAAATGCCATTGAAAATTCTTATATTGTTTTATCAGGGTGATATCATTGTGTAAAAACTTTGCATTTTATCGATCACAAATTTTATGTGTTAGATAACTAGAACCATTTTTCTTTTTTCTTCTTCTTTTCTAGACATTCCCTTCTAGTTGCTTTTGTTGCTGCCTCTGAAATTGTTGTAATTCTTTCTTGTGTAACTCATTTATGATTCCCTAGTAATTTCTCCATGTGAACATAATATTGTAGCTAACAAGAAAAGTCCTAAGAGTCAAAGTACTCAAAGTTTTTGCCTGCAACCCAGTCTCGTAATGATTTCCTCCAGGCTAAATTATGAATGCCTCTACCTGAACAATAAATGCCTTAAATGATGAGCAGTATGTCAGTTACAAACACTCAAGTCAGTAATTATTTTCAGAGATATTTTGAGGCAACATATGCCACTGAATTGATAGTTAAGGGCTTCCTAAGAACTGATAGTTAAAGAAACATCATTTTAATATTTTTCATTGCTTAACTCTTATTAACAAAATCTGAAAGCAAGTGATTTACAACAGCATGAATTTGGTATGGAGGAAATTATCAACAGATTATATTACAAGCAGAGATGGCACTTAAGATGTTTTTTGTTGTCTACGATATTGTGCATTATGTTTGATGCTTAGTTGCAAGATTTAGTTTTACATTTATTTGAATTCTTGCCCTTGTAATGTTAATTATTTTGTAATTATTTCCCATCCTTATATCTTCAATTTTGTAACATATTTTAGTGCTTCTAACCCTGAACAAGTTGTGTATGGTGAAAATGTAGTAGAAGAGGAAAACATGAAAACAGGGGAAGACATAGGCAGTCTTATTATACACACATATGAAGTAATATTATTTAATATATTTTCTTCCTCTTTTATAATATGATTAGCTGTTAATTATCTACTTGATGACATACTACTTATTAATATTATAATTTCTTAGTAAATTTTCAGAACCTTTCTATCATGTCAAATAAATTTATTTAAATTATCAGTATGTGCATGATGATCCATAACTTCTTCCAGACCATCAAAAATTTGTAGTATGATAACCACAATAAATACAGCAGAAAGATATATATTAGCCAGGCCTATGGAAAGCTTGCTTCTCTATTCTTTTCAGTGTAGTAGATGACACTGAAAAGAATATGAATGAATAAAATACGTATTTTGTGAAATGTAAACCAATAACCTGCTATTTTTTTTACTTGAGGTCATTTAAATGAAAAAGTACATTTCATGTTTTTATATATATTGGTGTCATGATTTTAATTATTATTCATTCTGTAAAATATTATTTTTCTTTATTTCTTTCTTACAAATAAAAGAATAAAGAGAAAAATCTGAAGAATTCTTATTCATTTTATTACAGACTTAGTTAATTAAATTACAAAGATAAGGCCAAAATAATGCAATTAAATTATCTATTTCATAGTTAGGTATATGACCATACCTATGATTACACTGGGGAACAATCTGTAACACAACTTCTGTGGAATTTGTTTTTGGAACTATTAGTTATAAATAGGCACACTAATTTCAAAATGGTAGTTAACTTTCTTTTCCCGTGTCAAGTTCTTTTCTCTACATTTTATGTGAATATGACCACTTTCCATGGCATCTAGAGTAGATCATAAAAAGTACTACTGCTCTCCTGTTTGCTGATATAAACAAGAGGAAGTGTGTTTCTGCAGTATTTTTGAAGTGATCATGGATTTATATATTGCCATAATGCACATGGTTTAATGGAAGAGCTGGGAATTTCAGCTTATAAATCAATGGCAATTGTTCATCAATAGCTTAAAGTAGAGCTTTAAATGTGTCCTCCTTCACAATGCAAGTTTTTTTTTTTTTTTTTTTTTTTGGGGGGGGGGGGGTACAGTCCTAATAGGCCAAGGCCATTCAGTTTGTTTGTGTGAGAAAATTTGAAGATATAAAGATTTATTTATTTGTTGTAATATTAGATGCACCAATAGATTCGCTGTGTTGAAATAGTGTGCTTCCTCCTTGGCCAGCAAAGTGAATATATGAAGTATCCCTGTTTTTTATATATGTGAGACAACAGAGCTCTTAAGAAGCATTGGGTGCAGTCAAATTGACTGCCAAGATCTGACCTAATACCTGGTGATCCAAACATACTGTATCAGCCATTAGTCAGCAGAAAGACTATTATATTCCCACCTCTGCACATAAAACTGGTTTTCACAAAGCAGTTTGTTAAAACTTTGTCACTTAAAGGAGGCATCTCATTTCGGCATTTCCTAGCCTGTCATTTGAGAAGAAAGAAGGCCGATGTATGTGATGGTCCACAGATTTGGCAGCTCCTTAAAGATGAACATTCCATTGAAACAATAAAAGAACTTCAAAAGAATGTTTTGTTGGCATTAAAAAAACATTTGTCAAAGACATTCTTGTAAATACATGAGCACAGAATTACAATACCAAGATTTGAATGTTATGGAGGGATGCTGCCTAGGTGAATGGGATATACGTATGATGGCTGACTATTGGCGAGCATCAAACGAGAATGTCTGCAGAGTAAACTCCCTAGAAAAACTCATAAATGAAAATTTTTACCTTAAAATGTATGTGTTGCTGCTTGCAATGTTCTTTTTTATAAAATTTTAAATGGCCAAAAAAAAGCAAGAATCAATTTTTCATATTATAACATCTGTATTTATTCCCTCTAGCACTCGGTTTTTACTAAAAAGGTAATTCCTTGTTGATTTCAGTCATGACAACACTTCAGTATCTCTAGAATAATTATTTTTCATTTCATTTAATTTGTGGCTATCAATGGGTGAAGTGAAAGTAGTTATTAGCTAGTGGTAGTAGTAGTAGTTACTATGACCAATAAATAATTGCCTACCTATGCTTACTATTTAGTAAAAAAAAAAAACTTATTATTTGTATGAACAATTGCTGTAAATATGTATATCCTTTGTATGAATAAAACTGTTCTTTATGAATAGTATAATTGCTAAGTTTCCCCTTTATTTTCCTCTATATGTATATTTCGTATGACTTTTGAGACAATGAGTAGCTTAAAAAGTTGGCATGAGGGATAAAACTGAGGTTATTTTTGGATTCAGAGGCCAAACGTTAGTCAAATACAAGTGACAGATCTAAGACAATGGAATTGCTGTTCCCCAGTGCTATCAAAAGAACCTCATGTTCACATGTGATCATGAGCTCTAAATGTGATGGTCACACAAATGTGCAAGTTTTTTATGAATAGAAACTTCGTTGATGATGCCAGACACCAATGAGAATACAAAACAACTCCCACCGCTCTTCTCCTACCATCAACTTCTAGAGAGAGATTTTCCGCTCACTGCATATTTAGAATGCCTCCATGCCGCACAGACGTTATACATTTACAAACATTCATGCCTTCTTCAGGATTTGAACCTGGGCCCTTCGATACAGCAGTCAAACATCGCTAACTACTATCCCGGTTGGGCGGCTGTTTAGTGATTAAATGCAGTGAATGAATTCCTTCAGATCTTCTCAACTATATTTATGTAATTTTTTTAATATAGTTATTTTTCAGTAGATATTGGCAGTACTAATGTTAGATCAAATGTAGTTTTTTTCCCTTTTCTTTTCATTGAAGAATTTGTTGATAAGGGACACAACAGCAATGATAGCAGTCATCATATATATTATTCCTGTGTTAAAAAAAAAAAAAAAAAACCTTTCTGTGTAACCTGACAAAAGAAATTATTAAAAAAAAAATTATCAAGAAATCAGCTTTATGACAATATCATTAAGTATAGTATTGAATGGAAGGACTAAATATAACAAATACTTAAAAAATTCTGTATCAGTTATTAGTTAGGATCCAGCTCGGTGTTCATTGCTTTTAAACTGTGCATTTTGTTTGTCAATAACAGATTAAATTTGAAAGATAAATATGTTATAATTTGCCATATGGAAACAGGATGCATAGAAGATTATTATTTTAGTTAAGGCATTACTTTTAAATAGATATACATTATTGTTAGATATACATTGCTTTTAAATTGTTCAGATCAGAAATCAAAAATAAATGAAGTGTGGAAAAGTAATAAATAAAATAAAATAAAAGTAAAAACAAATCTGAAATTCAAAATTTGGGCTTCAAAATGCTCATGTTCAGTGCAGGAGTATGTGTGTTTTAAATATGGCAGCTTTAGGTGACTCTCTCTTTCCACAGTATAGTGAACACGCATACATGTTCTGTATTTTTTAATAATGGATATAAGGTTACATCTAAAATCATTTTGATTGTGACTTGGTGGATCTTATGACAGGAATATAAGTTGAGAATTGATGTTTGCTATGTAGCAGAGATGCATATTGACCATCTGCAAAGTCTATACAAAACTTGAGAATTTTAATACACTGATATGCAACTTCTTGCAATTAATGTATTATAAACTTCTGAAAAAGAAGGAGATATGAATCACTCTATATTTAGTAACTTATAAAGTTTGCTAAGTTGCAGCATAACTTCAGCAAACTCCTTTTTTATTTGAGAAATAAATTGCATTCTTTCTAAAATGTAAATATACCTTGATAATTTGATAAGAATACAAAAGCCTATAAATCTTATTATAGTTGTTTCATTTATAGCATAATAATTTATTTGTAAAAAATGTTTTTCTTGAATTAATGTAATGGAATTATTTATTGTAGCTTATTAATTATGGTCCATGGAAAGCAAAAGAAGTTGAAATTCATGTAAAATGGCCTTATCAAACAGAAACCTTCAAAAAGACTGGTAAATGGCTGCTGTATATAATGGAAGCCCCAAAGGTACGTAAATGGGAACCTAAATGTTACATTGCATATCCATTGGAAATATGTTAATCTTCAGTTAAGTGTGCATAATTACTTTTCACAGTTATTGAATGACATTTGGATACTTTGGCTACGAGCTACCATATTTTGTATTGCTACAAGATGCCACATTTTATTTTGTATTGCTTTCATAATTATTCGAAGGTAAACATATAGAAAATGAATTTAACCCAAACAGAGTAAGACACAATTTGACAAAAAAGCAACATATATATGGTGTGTTTGCAAGTTATAATAGTGATGATGAGGATGAGCAATCGAGTTTTGGTCGGAAAGAAAAGAATTTTTCCACACAGATAAATTTTTTGCCAAACACATTGCCAACATTTTACCCTCATTTGAAGATTAACCATTGAGCTTGCCATTTTATTAGGCTGCGTGGTTGTTTTTAATGTTAATAGATGATTTTAAAATTGATTTAAATCAAAATGATTTAAGTACTTGTTTTTGAATTGTAGTTTTATTTAATGTGAACTATTACCAGCAATTATTCTTATACCATATCCATATCTGAACAATATATTAGAATTTATGAGAATAAGTTATTTGTTTATCTAATGTTAATGTTCTGAATATAGTGAATAATCTCTGTAGAACTCCATAATGGTTTAGATTTTATCGGCATTATACAGATTGTGTTGGTTTAAGTATTTTTGTAGCAGCATACAAATTATAACTTCACATTAATAGTTTATGCCACGTAATTAAATATATAATCGTATATATAAATATAGAAAGTCTATATATATATATAGATACAGAAAAATGATGATACAAAGAGAGAAAAGTTCTTACTCACAAATTGAATAAATTTGCATGAATGTTGTTTTAGGAATTAATTTTCATATTTCCTCACATATTTTTCCTCCTGTCTTATTTTTGCACTGAAAATTAAAAAAATAATTTCTGTAATTTCTGCCTTTTTCAGTGTATTCAGAGAACGAGATTTCCTAAATTTTAAAATGATGCATATAGTGATTGTTTTCATCTTACTAACGAAGACAAAACCTCATAAGCTATCTGTGAAGGTCACATCAAAACTTTTCATTCCAACTGTGTAACTTTATGCCAGCCTAATACAAGAATTGACCAATTACAGCAAAGCAAATATAAACTGACATTAGTCTACGATTTCACTGACTCTGTTTCACATTCGTCTTCTCTAATTATTAACAGTTGATTTGAGGCCTAAGGAGTAGCAGAGATAACAATAAGAACGGACGAGACTCAAGTTACAGGGAAGAAGAAATGAAAATATTAGATGTTCTGTTGTTAATATTACTATGCATTCTCTTTAATGGTGCAGAGGTTAGTTTTAAAGAAATAATATTATGATAGTTACCTGCAGTTTATCCATGATTACTTTTTATTTTTTATGTTGTGATTGTAACTAAGTCCTCAATATAAATTAACTGCGCAAACTGCAATGTAAATTACAGATTTTTTTTAAATTCCTGTTTTTTAATTTTCTTGAATTTTTTGAATTGGTTAATTAATTGCAGGTGCAAGGCAATGGGTACTGTGAGATAGATCCTGAAATAATAAATCCACTACGACTACAGGTAAGTGATAAATTTTGCATTTAAATTATACTGCATTTTCATATTGAAAGAAGTAAAATACAGCATTGAAAAATGTGACTACTGGCTTTATTTCAGTGTGAAACTAATTACTGTTGTCAGTTACTCTAACTAGATAATTACTTCTTCTAATTAATTGCAGAGCTTGTATCCTTCAAATTACAGTTTCTCAAAATAATTTAGAGAATTTTATTAAAATAGTTTAATAACTGAAGTGGAGGAGTCACTGTAAATGTAAAAATTTAACTAAGTGGGCAAAATATTCTATTTGTAGGGAAAGAGTAATGAAATATCCATTATGTTTTAATGAACAACATTAAAATATTCATTATCTTTCACTGAAGAATTCGTGAAAATATTCAAAAATGAATTCATTGATTTAGATCATTTTTCAGTGCTCATTACCAATCAAAATTGAAAATATATTTTTAGAATATAAGGTAGAATTATTAAATAAAATGTGCTTGTGTATTTTTACTCACATTGTCAGCTGGTCCAGTAAAAATAATAGCTACATATATCTATGCCTATTTTGCATGTATGGAACTTTAACATATTAAAGCAGATGAATTATTATACTAGAAGAAAGCTTTTGTTCCATGAAGATCATGTAAATGGTTAAATTTTACATTTACAGAATGTTGGCATCCATAATAATGAAACTTTATTTAAAAAATTCTGTACATTTTTTTTTGAGAAGTATTATAATTCAAAAGTATAGTAAAAGCCCCACAGTCTGACATTCAACTAATCGGAAAGCTCAAGTGACTGAAGTACTTAAGGAAAAAATTTTTCCTCAAAAAATTTAGTATCTGAGAAATTTGTAACCCCATTATAGAGCTTATTGTGGTATTAGCATGTAATGTGTTTTCACAAAACAGTGTGATTTAGTGGCAGAAATGAATAAACATAACATCATAACACAATCATATGAATTTTGCCTCAATATTATGTAAACCCAATTAATTCTGTGTAAGCCGGTTTAATTTTTGTAAAGAAGGCTTGAGTTCTGCTTTTTCTTTGCATTTCAAAAATTTTCAATATTTGGGGACTGCTTTTCATGGCACAGCATGCAGTAGGATATTTTCTAAGTTGCAGCATCCTGGCATCAAAAAAGGCATGATGTGCGACTTTTTTCAAAAATAAATAAATAAATAAATAAATAAACAACAGTGATGCAACATAAAAAATTTTGATAAGAGATTTAACTTTTTACACGTTATATCCATAATTTGCATTTGTTTATGTAAAGAAAAGCCTGTACCATTATACGGCAGAACAACTGACGCAAGTTTGGCAACATCTCCGCCAACTTTCATGTTGGTCAGGATTTCATAATTGGATAAGGTATTTTACTTTTACTTGTATGTTTACAAAATACATTGGATTTTAAGTCTGAATTAAATCTCTTATAATTTTAAATGTAGACTTTTGATGTTTAAGTTGGTAATAAGTAAGATGGCTGTTTTTATAATTTTAGATCAAAAATTTCTTCCATTCATTTGGCTTTTCCACCATAAATTTAAATTTTTATACACTGAATTATTCAGAACTTTCCCTTATTTAGAATACGTCATTTCCGAGCTTTCCGGATAGTCTAGCTTTTACTGTGTACGTATGAGATCAGTGTTTAAGGAAATAAAGTCCGTGTCTTTTCCCAATTTCTTGTGTAAGTATAATGCTATACTTTGTCACATATAATAGGAGCATTATATTATTCACTATATTATAAGCTGGATGTTTAAAATTTTTTAAGACTGATAATTTTTGAATTAAAAATGTAATGACTGTTCATGCATTAGATTATTTCAATGAAAGTTCCTTCGTATTAAATTTTTTGGGGTGGGTGGGGGAAGCAATATTTTACGAACAATTCAAAAATATGAAACAGATTATTGTGTGATGTCCCTTTCAGCTCAATGGATGCAGAACGTTTCACTTCCTCATCTGTGAAAATTTCCACACTTTTGACTTTACAGATTGAGAATGCCTAGAAATCTCATAGAAGTAATTCAAGGCTTTAAGGAAGCTATTCTAGTTATTCCTATTAATTTCAAACAGTGCTACAAATATCATATTCAGATGCCTGAGTACAGCAGCAGCATATGGACAGGCATTAACTTTGTGCAAAAAAACATTATTTCTTAAACAAATCTTTTTTTCCTTCTTCATTGCTCCATGTAAATAGGTTTCTAGCAGATTTATGTTATAATCATTGTTCATGGCCTGCTCATCCATATACAATGGTTACATCTGTAAGTTCAATTAGATAGCTTACTGGAAGGTGCTTGTTAATTTCTTGTTTGTTATTGGTTTTGAAGTCTCTCTATAGCTGAAATACCAAAGCATGGCTGTATGTTTCATCACCATATACATTAACATTTCAAGTGTTTCATGACTGGTTATTCAAACACAAAATTTGATCATACATCCACCATAGTTCCCCATGGACATCTTCCTTATCTCAATAAAATTAACAAGGTGTTTCAAAGTTTGTGGCTGCCCACAAGTCAGTGTGCAATTTTCATGCAATCTAGTACAAAGCTGCCACTTCTGTCATCTGAAAAGAAAAACAGTAGTCTAAGAACTTTTGAGTCAGGCCTTGTATGTACACATTATAGTGCATTAATAATAGTTCTGAATTTTTTCTTTATTGATCTGACGTAAGAAAGCTGAAAATTTCTCTCATTTATAAGATTAAATCATTTATTATTTAAATATTTAATGAATATTACCAGTAATACAGTGCAACCTCGAAATACGAGTTTAATTTGTTCCAGCATTGAGCTCAAGTAGCAAATTTCTCGTATCTAGAAACAAACTTCCCCATTGAAAATAATGGAAATCCAGTTAATCCGTACCGCACCTCGAAAAATAGTTGCAGGTTGCTTGACCAAAAACTTATCCATTGAGCTGAAATAAGTTTGTTAGTTTTAGGACAAGTTTTTGTACCTCTTGCTTCTGTCTCCTTTTTAAGATGTCTCTAAAATGAAGCACTACATTGCCATTACACAAGTTCATGGTGTGCTCACACACTGCTTTATTAGTGTGATTTTCTTCAAAGAAAATTTTTCACTTCTTCCTACTTTGCCAAAATGTCTTTAATCTTACTAGAAGAGAGGGCCTCATCTCCTGTTCCCTCCTTCCCTAATAAAAGCTTTTCTACCACCTCTTGCTGCTGCTCCTTGCGAAGTTCTTTAAGTTCGTCCATTATAAATTCTTCACTATGCTTCTCCACTAACTCATGCAGATCAGCACCATCCACATCCAGACTGACAGTTTTCCCCAGAGATAAGATTTCTTAGACTAGGTGCACTGGGCTGTCCACAGGTTGAGGATCAAAACCTAAGTCAGGAATACTCTGAGGCCACAGTTTCTTTCATGCTGAATTCAGGGTCCTCACTGAGACTTCTTCCCAAGCCTTATCAATGAGGTTTTAACAATTTAGGATGTTGAAGTGATCCTACCAAAATTCTCTGAGGGTCAGGCTTGTATTTGCAGGCAAAGCACCTTTGAAACAAGGCCTTCGTGTACAGCTTCCTAAAGTTGGAAATAACTTGCTGGTCCAATAGCTGGAAAAGTAGAGTGTTGTTGAAAGGAAAAAACTTGACTTTTATGAACTTAAATTCCTCCAGCAAATTATCTTCAAGTCCTGGAGGATGTGCAGGAGCATTATCAAGGACAAGAAAAGCCTTCAGTTGCCACACCACATTCAGTTGGTTTTTCTGCAGCTTCCTCCTCTTGAAAACTCATGCATGTTCTGAGTGGTAGATTTGTGGCTTGGTTTTGCAATCTTTATTTGCGTCCGCAAAAAACGAGAGGGTAAGCTTATCTTTCATTAGCTTGTCACCTAGCAAAGATTTCTCCTCTTGCATGATGTAGGTCCTCTTAGGCATTATTTAAAAAAAAAAAAAAATCCGCTTCATTACAATTAAATACTTTCTAGGGAAGAAAGCCTTCACTAATAATATATTGTAAGAACTATGGCCAAAATTTATCAACAGCAGCTGTATTAACCCAACACTGTGAACACCAGTTCTCTTTTTAAAATTTTCGAACCATCCATGGCTTGCCTTAAGTGACATCTCATCTCCATTCAACGTACCTGGTGTTTTTTGGAGAAGGTCCAAGTACAGATTCTTAGCCTTAGTGCAAATGATAGCTCCGACGCCAAGTCGACCTTTAACTGTTTCTTGTTAATCCACACCAACTACAGCTTCTCAACATCTTCTAGGAGTTTTGGATGGTGCTTGGAGAGAACAGTAATTCCTTTGGGCATATCAAGTTTCTTAATTTCTTCCTTATTCTTCAGAATAGTGTAGATCGTCGATGTCGAACGGTCGTAAGTCTTCGTGAATTCTGTCACTCTTACACCATGCTTTTGTTTATATATGATTTCTTTCTTAATTTCAACACCCATGGCTTCCTTCGTTATCTTTGCAGCTTTATCTGAGATACCAATCTTCTTCGGATGCATTGTGAAATAATTATTTTCACATTAAATGTAAAAAACAATTAACTCACAAATGCGCGAACACATAGATCCAAGAACACCGAGTGATCGGATGATGGGATTCCGTGAGTCAAGCAGGATTGGGAAATGCACCACACATACCAACAGCCTGGTTCATCGCTCATTAGTCGAGTCAGTGCTTGTATTTAGAGATGAATTTTTCTCTCATACTTTTCTCATATATGGAGGTGCTTGTATCTCGAGATTCCACTGTATTTATAATGCAAAATTAATTTCTTTTAAAAAATGACTGGGACCAACTTTAATGTAGAATGTATTAAAACAAGTGGGAGAAAGAAAAAGAAAACTTGTGGAATTGTTTCTTAAGTTAAAATTGCCCACATTATTTATTTGCTTTTCTTACGAAACTAATTGAATGTACAAATGCATATATTAGACATCTTTTCTTTATGTATTGTAATTGTTATGTTTAAAATTGGTACTGTTATTAATCCAGGTAAAGAGAGAAGAAGACCAATTCATCAGAGAATCAGAAGGTGGAGGAAGGGAATCAGAAGTTAGAGTAAAAAGGCAAGCCCCTGAGGAAATCCGGTTGGATCCCAGAACTCTCAACATCGCCACAATGGTATGTATTAAATGTGAGAAATTAAAATATTAGAAAGGAAGAGTTAAGCATTCCCAATGATGTTAATTTGTTTCAATTGAAATTATTTAATTATATTTTTTCCCTGAACTGTATGGAACTTTTATTATTTAGGACTGTGAAGAAGGCACTGCCAAATGCTATTATTTCAAGTGCATCTTCCGAGAACTACAACCAGATAAAAATGCTCTAATAAGCATTCGAGCACGTCTGTGGAGTAAAACTTTTGTTGAGGTTTGAGCTTATGTTGAGTTTTTTTAGTTCCTTAAAATATGTTTTAGATTTGCAGTAATTTACTTCTTAAGCAAAATTCTTGAAAGTTATAAATGAATTTATATTGTGTTATAATTTTGAAAAAAATAAGTTATCAAGATATCTTTTAAATATGATGAGTTAAAATTTTGTAAGCATCTTTTCTATCTAATATTTCAAAATTCATAATATAAAAATTTTCTCTTAAGCACTTAGAGAATAAATGTATTCCAGGAATTCATTTTAGAAATAAATACTACCATCAGGAAAAGGATTAAGATCACTTGAGCTAACTTCTTGGAAAAATTACTTATACTGAATGATATTTTTAATAAGTATTTAAAATATATTAAATTTTTTAAGTTAATAAATTGTAGTAATTATATTTATGTTGAAGGAATTATGTTGTATTACATATTTCAGGGTTACTGCCTTTTCTCTTTAGGAATCTTTTATATATAAAAATTGCTTAGCATTCTTTAATCTTCAGCTTTTATAAAATACCCTTGACAAAATAAAATTTAATACCTATTTTAATGTTTTGTAGAATTTTATAAGCCTGCCATTGATTTAAAAAAAATGTTTATGTCGCTTTAACTGGAACTGAAACTTCTTGACTTCCTCCCTTCTTCCTCTGAATTGCTGTGACACTTTTGCTTATGCTTTCTTCCTGGTAAGACACTCCTGCAAACATCTCTGCGCTGCTATGCTTTCCTGTCTAAGATGTTTACGTCGTACTTTTAAAACCAGTGTACGTAAAAACTATCATATTTAACTATGATTGGATAAATACTTGTCTACAAAAATGATCTGATGTGAATTGTCATGGAATAAAAATATGTTTCAAAACGACTGCATCTGAAAGTTGTTGGTTTATGCATCCATCTGTCTTTAGACACTTAAAACATATTTTAATGTTTAAAACTGATAAAATGTTTTTGTTAAGAACCATATTTTAAGTTTCAGCAAATATGATTATGTAAAATCTTATATGAAATTTAAAATTCTATGTAGTTTTCAATATTTTATAATTATTAAATCATATTAAATAATCAAGAGCACCAGCTGTCGAGCAGTACACTGGTAATTTGACCTGAGTTCAAGTAACAGAACACTGGTAATTTGACCTGAGTTTAAAATCAGGTGAACAGGCTGTCTGCATAGTTCCCTGTGTATAACATGGATATGAACCGTTTTTCCTGGGAAAATCTTGCCCCGAAATCATGCCTTCCCATATGCATATCTTTATTCCCTATGTCATGCATATCCTCGTGTATTTTGCCATAATCAAATATATCCATATAAAGCTACTAAACAAATTGTTTTTTTAGTAATTCAGATACATATCTCCCCATCCTGTATTGAAAAGGGGGAATTAAATCTGCTTGTATTTCTAAAAATTTGAAAACTTTAAAGGATGATGAAAGTATTTCAGTGTTTTGGAAAAAAATATCAATTAATAAGTTTAATATAAAAATTGCATGACATCATAAATAAATATATTTTTCATTGATTATATATATTGTATTTATCATGATGTTTTAGGATTATGCAACCGTAGACAGAGTGGATGTCGTCTCTCGTGCCAGTATCTATTTAGATCCAGATCTAGATATTCGTCAGAAACTGGAAAATGATGTAGCTTTTGTAAGTTTTCATTTGATCGTTTTACTTTTTATATATATATTGTACATTCAAATTATAAAAATTTGTTTTCTTATGATTGTCATGAATGGATAATTAAAAGAGTCTTTTGAATTATTTCAGGCGGTCACTAAAGCATTACCTGATCTTCCGTTGTATCAGAAGCCTGAAGAAGTTCCTCTTTGGATAATAATTCTTGCTGTCTGCGGTGGCCTGCTTTTGCTCTTTTTGTTAATATTTTGTCTATGGAAGGTATGTTGTTAAGGATATTTAAGACAGATATTTTCCTTTTTTCATTATTCTGAGATATGATGCATTTCATGAACATTATTTTAATATTTATTTTTGCTGCTAAAGAAAAGCATTTTTTATCATTAAAACTAGGCAATTATTTATAATACAGTAAAACCTCGGTTAATGAACTTAATTTGCATCTGAAGGCCTTTTGTAAATTGAAAGAACTTTTCCCATAGGAATTAATATAAAATGGATTAATTCACTCCTGGAACACAGATGATTGCTTATTTAAACTTTGGAGCCGTATTTTATGCACAGTTCAAAACCCAGAACACAATGGAAGTCATTAAATACAAATAAAAAATAAATAAAAAGAAGATTAAACAGATAAAAGAGGTAAACAGAATATTAAAAAGATTAAATAGAAAGAAATTCAATTTAATTTTACTGTATCTGTGCTGAAGAAGATGTTGTTATTTAGATGAAACATCTCCTTTTATAAAAACATCATGTAAAATCCCTTTAAAAAGCTTCTTTTACAATCTTTAGGTGGCATCTTCTTTTATCGTTTTCACCTGCTGTTGGCAAGAGCCGTGAGCACCATACAGGGGATAGTATGACTTTGCTCAGTTCCTTCCCCAAATTTGATGGAGAGCACTCTGGCGTAGACTGGTCTGAAGGTCTCCCACCGCTCTTTCCCGACCATTAATCTTTCGAAAGGACTTTCAGCTTGCTTGCCACATATTTAGAGTGCCCCCATGCTGCACAGACACTGTACATTTTTAAAAATCCATGCCTTCTCTTGGATTCGAACACGGGCCCTTCAATATGACAGTTGCAGTCACTAGCAGCTATTCTGGTTGGGCGGCTTTGTCTTTTCTTTATCTTAAGTACCACTCAATCATGCTCATTGAGCTTATGTTTCACTTCAAATATAACCAGTGCCATTTGTTGTTACATATTGTTTTAAAATCAGACATGGCATTGTCATTGAAAATGTTTACACTGTAGCCGGAGTCATAGTCCTGTAACCACATGCTACCAGGCTTTGTTAATGAGTTTAAACAATATAAATTATTTAAGTAGTTTTTCCAGAAGGCCCTGAATGCTAATTATGTGGCATAGGTTACCTGAGAACACCTTTAAAAATCATATGTTTCTGACCTGAGTGTTCATAACTTGAGACTGTGTTCATCATCCAAGATATTTTTTGCTTAGATAATTTGTGAAGTGAAGTGAGGCATTTATGATCTGATGTTCCTTTGTATGTGCTCTTCTTTTTATTTTTATTAAGGCATTAAGTTTCCGTTTTTTAAATGAAAAGCATTAGTGTAATTAACATTGGAAAGTCAGGTTTTAAATCAGTTCTTTTTGTATTAGCATCTACTGTTGCATTTTCTGCCATACTACTCTGCACAAACACTTAGTGCAGAGAGGGTTTCTAATTGTTAGGAAATGTCAGTAGAAGCTTTTGGATGTTTCTAACGAAATAACTCTTAGAATGTCTGACCTGAATGGTCAATAAGCGAGATGCTACAACCAAATAAATATTGATTCTCAGAGTCTTTTAATAAGTGTATAACCATAGCTTGTCACTAAGAAGCAATCAGTTTAATTTGAAACATTGAATTATATGGGGTAGAGTTTTCATGCCCTTGAGTAAAGGCTGATGTTGTCAGGCATGTTAATGCCAAGCTTGTACTTTGATTTCCACTTGATTAGCCTGTCAAGTCTGAGTAATTCTAGCAGTCTTTTTAGTGATCTAGTGACTGCTTGTTCATTGTGGTTGAGAACTATACTCACAATCTGAATAATGTCATCACTACAAATTAATATATATATAAATGGAATATGATATCTGGAATTCACAAAGTTTTGGAGACTTGAACTGTTTAGTATGTCTCACTTTAGTGTGATTCCATAGTAATGAAGAATAGTTGTGAAAGCACCAAATCCAAACACCAGCTTGGTAAACTCGATAAGCTAATAGGTGGCTTAGACAGGGAATTCTAAAGCATAATATCAGATGAAAATCTGCATAAGTTTTTACAAGTGACTCTTATCTCAGTTCAGAAATGGAAGTCAGTTGTAGGATTATCCACATGGAAATGATTGTTCTAGGTTTTCAGTTTTTCCTTTGTTTTGGACATCTGGAAAGTATTTTATCATCCTACTAATGTCTGATTGTCTTGGAATAGTGCTAGCTATGTCATCAACAGAGGAAGAGGATCTTAAATAGTGATAAATTAACGATTCAGCATTTCCTTGGGCAAATTAACGATTCAGCATTTCCTTGGGCATGTCTGAAATTTTTGCATGCCTGGTGAAAAGTATGGGCATGCTTTATTAAATAGACAGTTGAATTTGAAAGTGATGTCATAATGGCTTAATGTAATTTTTTCTTGGTTTGGATATATCTACACAGTTTTAATCCTTGGCTCTTTAAAATTGGTCTATCAAGAATTATTGAATTGTAGCATACTTCTCATGCTGTAGCTACAGTCTGGAGTTGGCTTTCCCTTGAAATGAAAGTACATCATTTTCACAAAGCAAAATGTCTATTTGTATGAATTGAAGATTTGCAAGTGTATGAGTTTAGCTGGCATGCCCAAAAGACTTAAGTCTCAGTGTGAATTAGCTTCTTTACCAGGAACTGAAATGATAGTTGTACAACAAACCTAATTTTACTATTCATTTATTGTTTACTGTGCTGTAGAATGAAAGCATTGAGGGAGGAGCTTGTTAGAAATTTTGGGGTTGGGCTGTTGCCTTTGGGAGTCTCCTACTTTCTTTTTTAAGTATTTTAATATTAAGTAATTGCTAATTGAACTATGTTGAATAAAAGTGTTATTTTAAAAATATGTGATGGAAGTTTTGTTATTAAAACTCATAATCTTTTTTTTTTTTTTTTTTTTTTTTTTTTTTTTTTTTTAAATCTCCAATAGCTTGGATTTTTCAAAAGAAAAAAGCCAGGATATATGCCTGCAGAGACAAATGAAAAAGAAAAGGAACTGAACAATATATGAAAAATCCACTTTTTTAGGTTCTGTTTGAAAAGAACTATTTGAAAACTGTGATTTATATAGATGTCTCATCTAACTCAAGCCTGAGTTTCACTCTCAACAAACTTGGCATTTACCTTTGTCATGGAGTTGCAGTTACTTTTAAATTTGTCTGTGATTACATTCATGTGGACTTCGTGAAGAGAAAAATATTGCAGTTGGTAAATACTTCATGTATATCACTATGTATAAAGTATAAATATGTGTATAAAGTTTTACTTTGACTGTGCCGTGAAGTCTTGAGGTAAGATATGCAGACTTTTAACTGCTGCCTATGAAGTGTGTAGCATATTAATATGTGAAAATGTCCTCTGATTATGTTTGTATTTAAAGAATTTTTCACTTGCTTTGTTGTATTATGTTTTGTACAGTAATTGTGTTATTTAATGTTGGGAGGTATATTGTTGGCAAGTTGTTAATAGAGGTGTGTTGCATTTTCTGTGTTGATAGAGAAATTTATAGCGTTACATTATATTATGAATAGTTTTTGAAACCACAATTTTGAAAAGAATTTGTTGTTTTCAATCGGAACTCCTGAAATTCACAGCAGTCTTATTTTATTAGGAAAACAAGAGATACACATGCAATTATTACATATTATGTGTATTGTGTGTAAAGAAATGTTTTTCCCCTTCAATTTCTGAGACAGTCTAGGTATGCTGGAATTAATTTTAAAAATTGTCGGTAAATTGTAATTTTATTACATTCATTAATTATGTATGTAATTATATTAGTTATGGAGTTTATATGAAGTGTGTTAAGATTTTCTTAAAAAATTCTCAGTTATGAATTTAATTAGGAGGAATATTTACTGAATGCAAGGTCACCATCAACTATTGTGCCATTTTTTAGTCATAAGTAGATTTGTTTACATTTTAAAAATGCAGATGTCTGTTGAATTGTGTGTTCAAAAACATACTTCTTTGTTTGCTAATTTCTTTCTTGAAGGAAATTGTTAACTGCTTTAAAAATATTCTACCTATTTTTCTAAAGTTTTTTTTTTTTTTTTGTGATATAAAACTAAGGAACTACTGAATGTTTTGTCATAATTATTTAAAGTTAAAACTTTTGTCCTATTTCATGTTTCTGAGTGGCCATAGAAAGTAGGCCAAACAACAAAAAGGCTCACTTCCTACTTCAATCACAAACTGTAAAACTGCAATTTTGCTATTTGTTTATTTTTAATTGCTCTCATAATTATTTTGGTCCATGATGATTTGTAAATATTTATTCGTATAGATCTGTAAATCTTTTATTTATATACAGTATATTTATTGTTCTGCATTACTTATTATATTTAGCTTTTTTATTGATTTCTGAAGAAGGAATTAAGTTTTTATTTTATTTTGAAACATAAAGTATGATAAACTGTTGATATAGTGAGTACCTTTCAAATGATGCACAAAAATACTTCTTTAAAATGCAAAAATATTAATGTTATTATTAATATGAATTATTAATGTGAATAGCAATGCCAAAATCTAAATATTCAGATGAGTGTTAATTCTTAAGTCACTGTACCAATTAATGTTTATTTGTAAAAAACTTTTAACAGATGTTATGTGGAGTCCAAATTATTACATTTTTAATAGTTACTATATATTCCTTAGTTTTTAGATGTTTATTTGTTTAAAAACATTAAAAAATGTATATGTATATATACAATGTGTAACAAAACTAAAGGTCACAATTTTAAGGGGGTGTGACATTAAAACTTTACATCAAATTCTCAAATGAGTGACATCCAGTTGCAATACAGATGTCACATCAGCGATGGAGTGAATCATTCATATGTTGGAAGATTCCTGGCATTTCACAAATACTTGTAGCTGCAACCCTAATTTGGGTGACAAGGCCCTCTAATGATTACATCTCTCGTAGATGATGCTTTTTCGCTGCCCCCACACCTGGAAAAAGAATTTCCAGGCAGGACATATCAGAAGATCTGGGAGGCCAAGAGAGGGGCCCACCGTGGCCAATCCGTCTGTTTGAAAAGGCAAAGTCCAGTTAGTTTCATACAATCTGAAGAAATGTGCTGGTGCTCCATTGTGCTGGAACCACATAATTTTTCAAACATACACTGGCACATTTTGTAGTAAATGAGGCAGCATTGCTAAAGGAAAGTAAGGTAGTTCTATCTGTGTAGGCAGTGTAGTAAAATGTACAGGCCAGTTAAGTGATTGCAGATAATTCCTGCACACACATTCATGGAGAATCTTTGCTGATTGCATTGCATGTATTAAAGATGCTGTCAAATGTGAACATAGCTTCATCTATAAACAGGGTAAATGCTGCAGAACTGTTGATGCAGTATTTTGTGTTTCAGGAAACAATTTGCAGATGTTATACCTGGTGTAAAATCCATTTCATTCCAGGCCTGGACACACTGGAGATGGTACTGGTGTAATCCTTTTTGCACATACCACATGTATTTACAGTATATTTATATACCATACCGAGCTTGCATGCTTTGTTCGTGCTGGTCATCCACTGCCTTAAGGATTGTCTATATTTGATTTATCATTCTCAAGCTCCTTGGTTTACATGTGTCATGTCTTGGCTGTGAAATGAGCCAGGTTGCAAGAGTTGTCTGTGCAAGCATGTTCTCAGAAGGGGCTGTGCCGTGTTTGGTAATTGCTGCTTTTTTTTAAAGTCTTGCCACTTCTGTGACATTGCCAATTGTAGCCCCATACATGTGGTGCATCTGAGCCGCCTTTGCATTCAAATATTCGTGCACCTCTTGTGATGAATAGCAGCTGAATGATGGATTCTGCAAGTGGCGACATTTTATCCACTCCAGAAAAAGCACCGTTTTGCAGCTTTCTATTTGTTTTAAAAAGTTCCATCACTCCTTACAGTTTTGATTATTAGTTTTGTCACACCGTGTATAATAAATAGGTGTGTATGTTTTTCTGAAAGACTGAAGTCTGATATTCACATAGTCGCTTGGTGTATGTTGGAAATATTTGCTAAATATCCTTATATCTGAGATACACTGGCAATTGTCGACATTCATCATGCATTGATGGTGAATGTCAAATTAAAATATTTTTTTTATAATCATACTTTATTACTGAAACATATTATGATATATTTTTAAATAGAAAAAAGCTTAAATAACAGTACCTGTAATCAGGAGCGTAGCTAGAGGGGGGGGCAAGGGGGGCATCTGTCCCTGCGCACAGAATCCAACGGGTGCCAAACTGATGTTACGACATTTTAGAATTAAATGTTTTACATCCTTGGCAAGAAGTAGGGGGCGCGAAATCTTCAGTTGTCCCTGGGCGCTGAAAACCCTAGCTACGACTCTGCCTGTAATTAAACTGTTGTGCACAAGTAAACAAACAGTGCATTACTTAATTGTGCGACTGAGGTTATACAATCTTATTTATTGCAACAACTTAAAACTGTTATGACACTTTGAATTGCCCAGGAATTCCTTGCTTTTACGACTGCATTTAGTTGTAGAACACTTCCATCTTCTCGGGGTCTTGTTTTGACCTCCACCAGAGCATATCTGTGCTTGTCATATACTGTGGTGATAGTCTGAATGTGTATAAGAATATAAGCAAATATTCGGTCTTTCACGACGTATTTGGTATGTATTGACATTCACCGGAGAATGTCAACATTTCAGTCCTTCACAGTAACATATATATAGCTTAGCTTTCAGTTAAATGGTTGATTGAATTTAAAAGTCATGTTTCTCTAAGTGATTTCTATTTATGTATTATAAATAATCTGCTTGTATTTAGTGTTGCTGAGCTGTCTATAAATTGCCAAGGCTTTAACACAGTCTTGTTTGAAATTGTCATTGCAGAAGATATTTTCTGTGAATATTTGATTGTTGTAAAAGGACTATATGTCTTCGATGAACACAGCACTGGTTTAAAATATTGTAAAGAACTGATTTAGTATGATTAGATGGCAAAATAGAGATTATTTTATAAAGTGAATTATTAGAAGAATAAGCATTGGTTCAGATTTCTTATACCTTATATGAATAGAATTTATTATAAAACTGTGGTTGAATATTTAGCACTTGTTTAAGCTGATCACTGTTGAAGGAAAATTGATGAAAAGCAGCATTTAATTATTTGAATTTTAATAAATAATGCATAGTTGCTAATTTAAAAGAAAGGGTTGTAAAATATTTAATTATTACAAAGTTTTAACTTATCATGAAATATATTTGAGAAAGACTTGTTTAAAAAAGTATGTTATTTAAGTGAGATAGCTTATCTGTTTTTGGAAATCGTAGTAAAAACTTGGGTTAAGATTAAGAAAGTGTCAGAGAATATAAAGGGAATAAAAGTTCCCCCAAAAAGTACATTATTCCTTATTTCTTTAATAAAAATCTGAAGCATAACTGTGTGGTTATAACAATGTTGATGATTAAAATTAATTAAGATCTGAAGTTGAAATGAAAAAGTCATTAATGGATAACTATCCATTTAAAATGGAGCTTTCAGCTTTATTTGTATTCAGTTTCTTTTCCATGTATGAATAGCTGGATAGTTTTAAATTAGTAATGGCTGTGTATTATTGATGCCATATTCACTTAGTAAATATTAACTTAAAAATAGTAAATATTTACTTTAAAAGACTGTAGAAAGCATTAAACGGGACGTTTAAAAAAGTATGTTATTTAAGTGAGATAGCTTATCTGTTTTTGGAAATCGTAGTAAAAACTTGGGTTAAGATTAAGAAAGTGTCAGAGAATATAACAAGTAAGTGTGAAAATAAGAAATTACTTCCCTCTCTCCCCCATGTCATAGCTTTGTGTACAGTTTTTTTTTTTAGTAAACGTCTCCTGCACAGATGTATGTATGGGGCCACACACATACAGAGCTTCATCTTTTAATAATTTATTGATATTGTTATATACCCAGTGATTTGTACATATTTTTAATGTGTGTGTCTTCAGCATTTCCCCCTTTGTAGATAAGTATTAAATGTAGCTTTTATGTTTGTACAGGTTTCATGAAGAATTTTATCATATCAAAATATAAATTTATAACTGAAGATTTGTGAATTAAAAGTTTGATATTTTAATGTCGGTTGTGCTTGATTTAGAAATTTCCAGTGTTTTATGTGTATCAAATGATACAAATTTGAAAAACTTCAAAAAGGAATAAATTTGTAAATAAAGATACAGTTTTTGTCTTAATGCTGTGCAATATTTCTAGTAGATTTTATGTAATATTCCCAAGAGGAATTTATGAAGAAAATTATATCTAGAATCAGAAAACTTTTGCTAATCCAAATGGAATAAGATCGTCTTTCATTGTCTTTTAAAGAGGGGATGAGCGAAAACCGGCCGCGGGCCGAATGCAGCCCTCCTCATTGCTTAATCCGGCATATTATGAAATCCTGTGCAACGATACTTTCATCCCTCTCCTACACAATTTTTATGCAAATTACCAAAATCAACAACACGAGTGCTTATCTTTTATCATAATGTATATGTGGCAGATATACACGTGACTATACAAACAATCAATCTGAATTGAGAACACTAGATATGATTCATCCATCTAAGTATAAACTCTTATATCTCATCATTTTTAGTAGATTTAATATGGAAATTAACAGTGTCACATGAATATCGTTGAAACAAAAAGACTGAAGGAAAAAAGGAAGCTTAGAGTAAAAACTTATCCCCCCTAAATTTAAATTTGCAGGTGAAATGGTATAAGTTGATCATTTGATGACCAAAAAGAATAGAGCCACCGCCCAACCGGGATAACGGTTCGTAACTCTTGACTGCTGTACCGAAGTGCCCAGGTTCGAACCCGGGAGAAGGCATGGGTGTTTGGAAATTTATAGTATCTGTGCAACATGGGGACACTATAAATTTGCAGTGATCCGAGAGACTGGTGGTAGTGGACGAGGAGTGAGGGACCCTCTTGCCTTCAAAATTGGGGGCGGAACTGAGCCTTGTCACCTGTATGGTGCTCAAGACTGCGCTAAAGACAGGCGCAATCATGCAGTCCTTCCCGCTCGTGGGCTTGTTCTGATCTTACTGTCAGACAAGTGAGATAAGTCACAACAACAGTGTTATGTACCAGTTCCTGTTGTCCAGTTTTACCCAAAACCTAATCAACTCTTTATATGGAAAGCTGAAATATGGAAAATCCAAATTTTTAGAAGTTTGGTACGAGAGATGTCGTGAACTAAAAAACCGTCACGTATATACATACGGATATCAATCATAGTGAAAATATTAAAGACGTGTTGGGAGCCCTAATTCATGCTTATTCACTAAAAACTCACTATTGAATTTTTGAATCGAAAACATTACCTCCCGTACCTTCTTTTTACTGTTTAGGGGAGCCGTCAAGTTCATGCTCATTTCTTGGGATCAAAGTCTTAGTGTAAACAGGCCTTTAAGAGCTTTAAGTAAAGTATCACTTCCGGTTGTCTAATTTTACCCAAAATCTAATCAACTCTTTATATAGGCGTAGAAAGCTTAAACACAGAAAATGGAAATTTTTGAAAATTATTCTGGATTAAAAAATTATCACAGGCATATTAACAGACAGATAGACGTCATTCCAAAAAAACTGTTGTGGGGACGCTAATTCGTGCTTATTCATTGAAAACTCACTATCGAATTTTTGAACCTAAAGCATTACCTCCCTTACCCATATAAAGTTGGCGGATGGTAAAATTTGAACTCAACTTTTTGGCTATGAGTATTTATGAAATGGACGCAGAAATTTTGTGTTAATAGTGTAGTCTTAAGACAATCGCCCATACTTCAGATGGTTTTGATCTTCTCCAGAGATGGTCCCTTTAGAGGCGAGTGTTTTCATATAAATGTTTATTTCTGTTTTTGGAAATACTGTCTCTTGTAGAAGTAGTTATTTGCGTAAACTAGTCGCGAGAAGATGTGTCCCTGTATTTATTTCTGATTTCAATACCTTTTATAAACTACTTCTAACGTTTTTAATTTCTCAGCGAAACTAATTTGGGGAAGCATAAAACAAATTCCCTTTAAAAATGTATATGTAATTATGATTAGTAAATCTTTATTTTATATACATTTGAGTGGGAGTCTCCAAAATAAAACATTTGTTCTTTTGCGGGTAAAACGGAAAAGCAGGTGAGTGGAAGTTACTCATATTATACAATAGATGGCAGCACCACAGATAGTGGAGTTTGAGCAAAAGTCGCAACTTTTGCTCCAAACTTTTCATACTTTTTTCCCCACCTGGAAGAGGCAAAATACTTCCTTTTCGTTCTCTAACTGAGGAAATGTTTAACTTTTGTACACTTTATTCTGGTCTTTAAAATATTTAGTTTAAAATTTAAAAAACTGTGTTGGTTTATGGGATAAGAACGGCTGCGAGTCGTTATCCGCAATCAAACTTTTCTTAACATTTTATCGAAGCTAATGCAAAAAATAATGAGTAAAAGTGCGTTTTAATTAGTGTATGTAATTATTTTTTACACTGATATATGTATAGGTATGCCACCCCCACCCAAATTTGCATATGACTACAGACAATGCCGAATTAAAGCGGAAGGAATGCGGCAAGAACAGTAAGCATAACAAAGAAGCAAATATTTCAAAAACTTAATTAAAATATAAACTGCTTTATTATCACTAAAATTATATGAAAGGGCCTCATGGTCGTCTTCTTTCCGGTGTGAGAAATTCTTCTTTCTCGAGTGCAGAGTCTAAAATGCAGAAATACAGCTTCTGGGTGTACAAGTGTAAATGAACGACGCATTATCCCTCCTGAATATTTGACATATTGAGGTAAAATAGTGGAGTGTGCTCTTAGACAACACTGACTGTGTCCGGCTCAAGTCGGGTTTATCAGATGTATTATAAAGCTGAAAATATAGTAAAACCAGACTTCAATAATATCATATCTTAGTTATGTCTTAAATATACATAGAAGTTTAAGATAGAATACCAATATATTTACCACAAACCATAATTTGGAGGCTAATTAATTAAGGCAAAGCACATAAATGTCTAAGAAAGAGCTATTTTTGTGGAGGCCATTTTAACATAAAGTTGATTATATTCACATTACGCATATGGAAATAAGTAAATTACTAATGATTAAGTAATCGTACCTCCATATATACTAGTGAACTCTTATTTTGCAAAAAATATTACCGAAATCACATATAATGCATTCAACATTGTAACGAATGCGGTGATAAGAGAGCTCACCACTGAAAGCAGCCATACATGGTGCAATATGTATGGCTGCTGGATGGAGGTTTGCGAGCTATATTTGATAAGATCATTGAGGTGCCTTCATAACGATAATGCATCATAAAGGTGTCCACATCTTTATACAAGTTAGCATCTCCAAGATAGAAATCTTCTTAAGATTGCCCCGACATAAAAATGGCTGTACTGTTTACGAGGATCAGCTTCGAAAATTAAAAAAACAATTTTCATAAAGGTGCAACTTCTTTTATACAGGGACATTGTTATTCAAATAAGAGTTCTGTTCGTTAGTTTCATTTATCGATTAGAGTAGAAAATTAAAACCTTACCTTGATGCATTTTTCTTGTTCTTTTCTTGATGCACATGCTTCTATGAAAATAGCTTTCTTCGGTTTCAAATTTGATCTTCATAAATGTACAAAGACCCTAGTGAAGGTTTCTGTATTGCCAAGTATTAGCGGATTTGCATAAAAATGCCAAAACCTGTATGACAGGCACCGTTACGAAGCAGTTCTGTCGACTTCACTTACTGAAATTAGTTTAGGTGGCAGAAGCTACGTGTACTAGAACATAGATACATATTTAGAAGTTAGAAAGGAAGAAAGAAGATTGACTGCAGAATTTGTTTCTTTTTTTCACTGTGCATGTCAGTACAGTAGTTGAATAGCTAGAAGAAACTGAGAGAGCAATTCGCTCTGGGAGGCACATCTTTTGAGGACGACAGTTTTCCTCAGAAACATAATTTGATAATCTGAATGAGCAAATCTGAGCAAGGTAAAGATGCCTCATTGTAGGACAAGTCTTTTTAGTCTTTCGTGGAGGACAAGTTTCCAAGAAGAACTTAGAAACAGAAAACTAACTCCTATTCACATAACGAAAGGAACACTGGCTCTTACTCACGTTACACATGAGAGTGAATTACAAAATCGCTCATGCAGCCAGCCAGCTCATTGATATTTGACCACAGGTTGAACCGTTTAGAGATCTTATCTACTCGGTTATTTGCAAGGTAAAGAATCGAAAGATGCTGGATTGTCATACGAAACTGAACTGAGGGGAGTTTATTTTATAGTGGATAAAGCAATGAAAGAACTCACAACGAATATTTTCAGATCTTCTCTTCATGCAATGCCTTCCATACTTGATCCAAATTTTTGAATAAAAAATAAGAATATCAATTTAAATTATGATCACAGTGACATAAATAAGGGATAATTCCTCGTTAAGAAAGAAATGCTGCTAACTTTTTATTTCTGTTATTGCTTGGAAAGATGAAACATGAAGATGGTAGGATACTGGCTTTGAGTTTTTCAAATTTAATTTAAAACAGTCTCCAGAGCGCAGTTTCAAACATTGTAATTCTAATACAAATTTTTCTCACAAATGATGTGGGCATTACTGAATAAAAAATCTATTAAGAAGCACTTAAGACACAAAAAATAAATACTTTCCGTTTCAGAAGTCTTACTATACTTCTTACAGAACAGTAACAGGGGTAATGAAACGAATTTCTGTACTACCATCAATGATTTTTTGGGAATAAAATAACACACAAAATGGCAACTCCGGAATGTCGAAACTAAAGTTTCATTTCAAACATAAAATTAGAGTTCCTATTTACTTCCTATGCGTTGTTTGACATCTTATAACCTGTTTTGTGCTTGTATCGAGAAGGATAAAAAACGGATCGCCGTGGGAAACAGCAAAAGCTCTGTCTACGCCACTGATTTATTGAAAGCAGGAATATCCTGTACTTGATTGTAACCCTTACTCATATGCACCTGCATGTGTAACATTTGGGGATTTTACTAGCTCAAAAAATAAATAAATAAAAATAAATAAAAAATAAGATCAATTGTCAGAATTTTAAATACATTTCCTACTTGATGCGCAGAAATTCCTCACCACAGCAAATGTCATGTCTGTCGCCATTAGACGGACTTTAGATGTTAAGAG